ATTCATTCATTCATTCATTCATCCATCCATCCATCCATCCATCCATCCATCCATCCATTCATTCATTCATTCATTCATTCATAACGAACATCCATTAATTAATGAAATCATTCATTCATAACGAATGCCCCCCTGATCCTAACTGATAAATCAACCCTTAATTTACCTCACATCAATAATTGTTTCTGATTGGTTTGGAACCGGGCATTTATTATTTTGGTAGTCCGCCAGGAAATCAGGTATCTGGCTTATATCGCAATAGTATCGTCCAGTTTCTGGAACAAACAGATGTCTATCCTAATGCAATGGGTAACAGGAAGAAGCTCGGATCGATATTTTCTCTTGAACATATTTCGATATAAAATCGTTCTCCGAGCATGTACACAGGAACATATTTAGGGCTCCTTGCCTCTAGGCAGGAGACCTATTGTAATCGTTCGGATTATTATTATTCTTATTTATTATTCCGCCGATTTTTGTACCAAACATAACTCCTAAACCAATGCTCCGAATCGCTTACAAAACATCACACAGATGCGCACCCAGGTGTAGATATTCCCCTTAAAAATCTCTAGGCTCTTGGCCCAATAGCAAAGGGGAAATAATTCAAAATTAATTCCAAAATTTCAACGTTTGACAGCAAATATCTCAAGAACTAATTGTTCCAACACTTCCAAATTTCTTGTACAGATGCACAATCAAATTCTCAACAATTTTGCCTGGACGGGTCAAGTCGCTAAAACGTACCGTTTGGCTGTTATTTTTGTTTTAGTTTTTCTGAGTAGTTTGCTCCCAAAATGTATGGTAGATGATGTCCTGGTGATTCCAGAACACTCATTGTTTTGAACGTAGACCCAAGAAGAGGGAACTATTTCTTCTCCGGAACTACTTAAGAGGTACATGACCCCCGTGACCCCGGCTGTATTTGGAAGATCCGCTCGCCTGTCAAAACGTGTGTTCTGGCTCCGTTTTGGACGATGATATCTAGCCCTCAGATACAATAGATAGAAAGCAAAGCCAAGGAGACCTCATCGTTGCCCGCAACTATATTTCGATATAAAATCGTTCTCCGAGCATGTACACAGGAACATATTTAGATATAAAATCGTTCTCGAGCATGTACACAGGAACATATTTAGATATAAAATCGTTCTCGAGCATGTACACAGGAACATATTTAGATATAAAATCGTTCTCGAGCATGTACACAGGAACATATTTAGATATAAAATCGTTCTCGAGCATGTACACAGGAACATATTTAGATATAAAATCGTTCTCCGAGCATGTACACAGGAACATATTTAGATATAAAATCGTTCTCGAGCATGTACACAGGAACATATTTAGATATAAAATCGTTCTCGAGCATGTACACAGGAACATATTTAGATATAAAATCGTTCTCGAGCATGTACACAGGAACATATTTAGATATAAAATCGTTCTCGAGCATGTACACAGGAACATATTTAGATATAAAATCGTTCTCGAGCATGTACACAGGAACATATTTAGATATAAAATCGTTCTCGAGCATGTACACAGGAACATATTTAGATATAAAATCGTTCTCGAGCATGTACACAGGAACATATTTAGATATAAAATCGTTCTCGAGCATGTACACATGACCATTAATCAAGCACCATCTAAATCCAAGGGCAATGTTCAAAGTTTGGTCCAAACAGGCGATCATACACCAGCATACTAGAATGCACATGGAAAGCACGTGCTTCATGATCACACTTTATCTCAAAGGCTGTGGGGCGGATGTTCATGTGCTGCCAAGGCGCCAAGGACCGTCGGGTATATCTGCAGTATGTGCACCACAGTTTTCTGAACAGGTTTAAAAGCGACAGTATTAAAACTTTACTTGACATGGCAAGACGAACTCCTACAGAAATAAACACAGATTGCATGTGATTGGCATGCATAACGCCGGGATGTCCTGCCGCAACATGGGTGCACTGGCATGAATAACGCCGGGATGTCCTGCCGCAACATGGGTGCATTGGCATGCATAACGCGGGGATGTCCTGCCGCAACATGGGTGCTACCTGAACATTAACAACATGTCGACTTGTGAGGAAGCATGTGGTCACCGTTGAAGTAAACGATAGTCCTAGACCTGGAACACCTCGGAACACCAATGGCCGTGATGGCTGAGTCTTAGTTCACCTGGCAAAACTCAATCCCATGAGCCATGGAGAGTCTGACTCAGTACCACCAAAAGGAGGTGCGACCTGCTTGTCTGAGGGAACGGCGTCGGATGAGACACAGTGACAGGAACGTCTTGCGTGGTGAAGACACCTCGGGGTTGGTTCAGTGGGGGGTAGGGTTCACTGGTCTGATGAAAGTCGCTATCTTCGACACGTTACCGACACGTGATCTTCGACAAGTTACCGACGACCGTTGTCGCGTATGTAGACGTCGTAACGAAGCATACTACACAGGCACTCCACTGAGAATGGCAGAGGATTTCGATGCTGATAATTCCACCCTTTGAGTGGACTGGCAGAATTGTTAGTGAGAGGGGAGGCTACTCCAGGTACTGATGTGGTCGTCGGTGGTGGTTCAAGCAATCACAACAGTCATCATCTGAGAACCGTGACAAAGGGATAGTGTACTTCTAAGACTGCAAGTACATTGTTACCAGTTTTTAATTCCATTTATTGTTTTCAACCAGAGTAAAATATGCCACAGGAAGAAAGTTTATTCCTATAATACAACATTTTACACAATGTCGTGTTTAAGTAGTTATCATATAAAAAGGTGGGCGGTGCTTGATTAATGGTCATGTGTATATGTCAACAATGAATGTGATTTGGGGATACAGACTGTTCTGATTAAAAAATATCCTTGAATTGAAACCAACGATACTGAACGCGATAATATAATCCGAGAGCAAGACGACAATATGTGTGGGCCAGGTGACAATGTATATCAGGTGCCAGCGTGTATCAGGTGTCAGTGTGTGTGTCAGGTGACAACGTATAGCAGGTGTCAGTGTGTATCAGGCGTCACCGTGAATCAAGTGTCAGTGTGTGTCAAGTGACAACGTATATCAGGTGTCAGGTGACAACGTACATCGGGTGTCAGTGTGTATCAGGTGTCAGGTGACCACGTATGTCAGGTGTCAGTGTGTATCAGGTGTCAGGTGACCACGTATGTCAGGTGTCAGTGTGTATCAGGTGTCAGTGTGTGTCAGGTGTCAAGTGACAACGTACAGTGGAAACCTGATAAGTAAAATCTCAAGGGACTCGCCAAAATTGTTTACTTATTAGGTATTTTACTTATCCAAACTTATAAAAACCTGCAAATGACAACCATATGCATGTATATGTATGCATATGAAACATTGAACAACTTATCAGGGCTGGCCTCCAGTTGTCAGTGTATTGTCAACTGCTTGACGCCAGCGAGCTGTAAGTAGGATGTTTGTTTGACTGGAGACTGACACGACTGCCCCTCATGTCGGATTATGTGGTGATCGCTCATTTAGTTATCCAGTCTCTTTTGTTAAGGAATTTACTTCCAGGGACCGGGAGAAGACGTTTACTTAAGCGGTATTGTTTACTTATCTGAGTTTAGTTAACCAGACTCTAATAATGATAATTAATGAGGAAAGTTGCCGGGACCAAAGAAAAGTGTTTACTTATCAGGTCTGTTTAGTTAAGCGGTCTTTACTTAGGCGGTTTCCACTATATGTCAGGTGTCAGTGTGTATCAGGTGTCAAGTGACAGTGTATATCAGGTGTCAGTGTGTATCAGCTGTCAGGTGACCACGTATGTCAGGTGTCAGTCTGTATCAGGTGTCAGGTGACCACGTATGTCAGATGTCAGTGTGTATCAGGTGTCAGTGTGTGTGCCAGGTGACCACGCATGTCAGGTGTCAGTGTGTGTCAGGTGTCAGTGTGTGCCAGGTGACCACGTGTGTCAGATGCCAGTGTGTGTCAGTGTGTGTTTCTTCTGTAGGTCGCTCGGGGATAAGGTGCCATAACAGGCGGCATGCTATCACAGTGGGCTGAACACTAGTGGCCATCTACTGTTCACGTGGAATGAGTCAGACACCAGGGTAAAGAAGTAACGAGTTTAATGCATCAAGTACAAGAGTATACAAACTGTAAGTAGACACAATACTGTCACATGACTATATCAGGGAAGTAGTTATACATGAAGCTGAATAGTTGCGTTGTTGCCAAGGTGAGGATGTAAACACTGGACACATATCCTAAGTAGCATCCAGTTTGCGCAATATATACAGGAAATTATATGAGTGCCCATTTCATACTATGTTTACGGAACTAGTGCCCAGATGTTGGTATTTCCCGGGCGAGAGCGAGGGATATACCGATATTTAGGCACGAGTGTTGTAAACATAGTATGATATCGGCACGAATATAATGTTCTGTTTATTACCGAAGTCGTCAGATTGTGGAAAATAACCCAAATCTACTTTCAGACATAGGCTGTCTACCCGCCGTCGCCGCATGTAGAACGCAACGTCACAAAAGAAACGTGACGTCATAGCATTGTACATGACGTCACGTCACCATGACAATGTGATATTTTGCCCTAGGGCATCGTATGAAAAATATGAACCCCGATATGTTCGCCCTCGTAGGTAATAAACCTGTTGATCTGCTGCTGGCGTGATCGAGGAACACAATTAACAATAAGGAAACATACTAGATAACGAATGGCGTCTGAGTTTGTCAGTGGTAAAACACAACTATAGGCACTTCCTGTTGTGATGACCCAGCAACAATTAACAGTCTAAGCAATAACAAATACAAACATCTCATATAAAAAAAGACACATGATATACAGAAATGCAATATAGAAAAATACCACCAACAATAATATGAAAAATATAAAAATTACAAAACTCATTGCTAGAAAACGTTCCTTAACAATAATACATAATAGTGTAAACGTTCTGAAGTTGACCTTTATTTTGACTATTGGCATCATTAGGTGGAGAGTTCATGTTAATGATGTTACAGGGACAAAAACATGAATGAAAACACGCCCGTAGAAGTACAGCCTGTTATGTTGCATTTAGTTCACATCAGTTCAGTATTCAAAACGTATCAGTTACAATTATGGTGAAAACATTATTAAATATTTAGAATATTCAGGAACTTGAATATGAAAATGATATTGGCGTAAAACAGCATTGAATGTGACATATAATGTAATACAACATGGCAATGGTATATATGCTCCCTACAATGATTTTGTAAAGTGACGGGTAAAACACACCCAAATGACAAGTGGTGTAGAACACTGCGAGGCCGCCACCATATATAGATGACCGAGAACCCACAGGGGGTAGCTCAGGCTACTTCCTAGTCGGTAGACGCCCTTTGAAGCCCAGGCGTGTCCACCACAGGGCCCCTACTAATACAGACCGATGCCCACGTATGTATAAAAACATCCAATATCACAGATATAAAATGAAGCGCGTGATATCCTGTCCTGAGCACATCAACATCATCATCGATCCTCCATATAAATCGCCCTGGAACAACGAGGATTCACAGATATAAAGGATTCTTCAGTAGCAAAGAGGCTGAAGTCTGCTAAAACAATTAAAATGGAAACACTAACACATTTGAATAATGAGAAGACAGAATCGGTGTTATGTCCCATCTACCGCCCCGGTTGATTCCCGGTGTAGTGGTGTTGTGCCCTGCCCTAGGGCGTGGTGTCCTCAAGGCTGATGGCGTTTTATACCGCCTGAGGTGGTGGGTCCGACGACTCTGGCGGCACACCTGAAACAGTCAGGTATATAATAGATAGATACCATAACTAGATGGCTTATCATTAAGCCGCTGCTTCAAGTTGTTTAGAGGTCCACGAACTGTATGATCAAAGATATGGTCAAACGGACTGAAACCTAACTCTTGAATTTACTCCCTCACAAAAACCCGCAACAAATTAATACCTTTATCCCAAACCTTCTCAAAACAGTAAGTAGTATATTCTTAAGAGTCTGGTAGAATCTCAAAACTTTCTTCTCCTTTGCGTAAACTAAACTTTTGCGTGGAAGTTTCGGGAACCAATTCATAAGCCTTCAAGACTGCAGCCGTACCACTCTGGTAATCACAATTCCCAACGGTAGGTAAGGCAGAAAACACTTTATGAGCTTTCCCCCTAAATACACTATATATAAAACATGACACTCTACATGATATCCTGATTCACTCTGTATCTTCTGTCTAAAACCTGTACTTAAATGCACAACTCACTGGCGGTTGTCTGGACTCCCTGGGGGGCTAGTGGGTAGGCAACGTTGGGCGGCTGCTGTGGAGGGGATGGGTCTCCCGCTGGGGTTCCTTCAGCTGCAGGTGGGTAGGGCTCTGGAATCAGGGTAAACAATGACACTGTTACCCCCATCTACCGCCATGAAGGAAGCCAACAAGCTGGGAATTCCAGTAATACCGAAGTGAGTGTGTCCATGTATACCAACTACTACAATATAGTGACAATTGTATGCATTGGAATCAGGATCAGACACTTCAGTGACTGAATACCTCTACAACCAGTGTCTGGTCCCAGGTGACACACAATATTATCAATATTAGATATAACTGTCTAGGAATTTGTTTTCGCCCGACGGAGACCTTCATGTTGTAGTGCTCTTGCTTTTCAGAACATCAATTGATTATACATGTGCCAACACTAACAGTTCGCCTCACCTGATGGTGCTGCCTGGTCCGGGGGTGGCTGTGGAGGGTAGCCTTGCTGGTCCGGGGGTGGTTGTGGAGGGTAGCCTTGCTGGTCCGGGGGTGGTTGTGGAGGATAGACTTGTTGGCCTGGGGGTGGCTGAGGGGGGTAGCCTTGTTGGTCCGGGGGTAGTTGAGGGGGGTAGGCAACAGCTAAATGACACAGAGTGACATATTTTAAAGGCACCAATCTGTGTGTTGCTCGTTAGAATAACCTGAACATTCATATCTTGGGACGATGAGATGAGAAATAACCCTGCACAGCGATTGGTCATAGAACTGAAAACCTTTTCAGGGCGCTGTATTTGAGCCCCTGAATTCAACGATCACAGACTGAGTTAATGAATGCATTAGGCAGTTGACCTGTAAACATGTCTGTTTAGAGAAGTCTTAAGCCTCACCGGGTGCTTTCTGGTCTGGAGGGGGGTACAAAGCACCTGCAACAGGGAGGGGGTAGCTGTAATCAGTGAAGTCATAGCAACCTTGTGCCGATTGATTGGTTTGCTGGTCACAGAGTTCAATAGAAATACTGAATCTGGACCAGAACAGTCAACCAGGAAACCGTGATTACCACCCCCATCCAGCCACACTTGACAAGCTTTGGTTGCCTACCCTTCAATCCCCTGAATAGGGTGGACTGGAAATATTCCATGGAGTCTATGGAGATAAAATAGTTGATACCTAACTGTATGAGCTAGAGAGAGTGTTTACAGGTAACACAGTACTGAATATTAGAGTGAGTGAGTGAGTGAGTGAGTGAGTGAGTGAGTTGTAACAGTACTCCCGGCACTTCACGGCGTGTCTGCAAGATGTAGGGACAACTACGCCAAGAGGGAAGGGGTGCAGGTCTCAGTCAGTTACACGTTTGTATGGGCATGGTAGTAACATATAGCCGAGGCAATCGAGGATTCAAACTTATAATCGCGGGCGTCTGGTGTGTGTGTACTGTAACATAGGAAGTACAAACACTACGAGAAAAGTTACGAGATCTTAAGCTTACGAGAGCTTCGTGAAACGGGGCCCTGGTTCTGATCTACTGAAGGCCTTGTTGACGTATGGAGCGGCATAGGTTCTCCTAGAGTACAGGCTTCTCAACAAACTCTCAAAACATGGAAATCACCTAACCCAGGTTAACCACATTAACGAACTGAGGTTACCAGGCGCAGGGTTACCACACATTAGGTAACCACACTGAGGACTACCACACTAAGGGATACCACGTTGAGGGTTACCATAGGCTACCACGTTGAGGGTTACCATAGGGTTAACACGTTGAAGGTTACATAGGGTTAACACGTTCAGGGTCACCATAGTGCTACACGTTGAAGGTTACCATAGGGCTACACGTTGAAGGTTACCATAGGTTAACTCGTTGAAGGTCACCATAGGGCTAGACGTTGAAGGTTACCATAGGGTTAACTCGTTGAAGGTCACCATAAGATTACACGTTGGAGGTTACCATAGGGTTATGCGTTGAGGGTTACCATAGGGCTACCACGTTGAAGGTTACCACATTGAGGGTTATCATAGAGTTACCACGTTGAGGGTTACCATAGAGTTACCACGTTGAGGGTTACCATAGAGTTATCACGTTGAGGGCTACCATAGGGTTACCACATTGAGGGTTACCAAAAAGTTAACATGTTGTTGGTTACCATAGAGTTACCACGTTGTTGGTTACCATAGGGTTACCACGTTGATGGTTACCATAGGGTTACCACGTTGAGGGTTGCCATAAGGTTACCACATTGAGGGTTACTACGGAGGGTTGCAATGTTGAGGGTTATCAAGGTCAACGAACTGTGAGTTACCGTATTCAGGGTTACAACGTTGAGGGTTACCACGTTCACGGTTACCACACTGAGGATTACAACGTTGAAGGCTACCATATTGAGGCATATCCCGTTCGTCAAAGTCGTACATGAATATGAATGTTGAGGGCTTACTGAATGGTCACGATCAGGCAGCGGTTACGTGATTGTGGGTAAAGGTGGTTTCTTACCTGGGGGTCCGTACCCTGGTTGTTGAGTGGGTCCGTACCCTGGTGGTTGTACGGTTGCACCCTGGGGAGGGAGCATCGGAGCTGCCACAGACTGAACTAAAACAAACATACAAATGTGCTCAAAATGCGTATACCAAGATTGTAAAGTCATGAGACACATAAATACTCGACATACTCGATGCAGAGAGTCTGGCGTGGTGTGTGTAACATGAAGTATTGGTTCTATGTGCAGATTGGCTCGTGTGGTTTGTGGAGTAGGAAGCGGTTGTTTTAGGTGCAGATAGTCTGGCGTGGTGTGTGGAGAGTGGAGCGTTGATTCTGGTTTGGGGAGAGGGTTTGTTTTTCTTTACCTGGAGCTCCGGTTGCGAGTTGTTGAGGGACTGCTGTGTTGGGAGCAAGCATGGGTTCTGCTGCTTTCTCCTGCGGCGGAACTGGAACACAAACACAAGCATCATGAATGTCGGAACTGGAACACAAACACAAGCATCATGAATGTCGGAACTGGAACACAAACACAAGCATCATGAATGTCGGAACTGGAACACAAACACAAGCATCATGAATGTCGGAACTGGAACACAAACACAAGCATCATGAATGTCAGAACTGGAACACAACTGGAACACAAACACAAGCATCATGAATGTCGGAACTGGAACACAAACACAAGCATCATGAATGTCGGAACTGGAACACAAACACAAGCATCATGAATGTCGGAACTGGAACACAAACACAAGCATCGTGAATGTCGGAACTGGAACACAAACACAAGCATCATGAATGTCGGAACTGGAACGTGAAAGCATCATGAATGTCGTGTTGATGGAACACAAACATTTAGATTATGTGTAATGATTGTGCGTGCTGATTGTAGGATGTGTATTTAGATTGATTGTGCGAATGTATGTGAAGGATGTGCGTGTTGATTGTAGGTATTTAGATTATGTGTAATGATTGTGCGTGTTGATTGTAGGTATTTAGATTATGTGTAATGATTGTACGTGTTGATTGTAGGTATTTAGATTATGTGTAATGATTGTGCGTGTTGATTGTAGGTATTTAGATTATGTGTAATGATTGTACGTGTTGATTGTAGGTATTTAGATTATGTGTAATGATTTTACGTGTTGATTGTAGGTATTTAGATTATGTGTAATGATTGTGCGTGTTGATTGTAGGTATTTAGATTATGTGTAATGATTGTGCGTGTTGATTGTAATTGATGACTGCGCGTGTTGATCGAGATAGTCAAAGGTAAATGTTACTGTGACAGACAGAAAACAACGAGAATCGAAACAATAAATGTACATCCTTAAATGGAACTATGTAAAGGTCAATGTCGATTCGTGCAACACATGCTGACTCATGCAAATGCATCACGTCACAGTGTCAGTAGTGAGTGTCAGTAGTGAGTGTCAGTAGTGAGCGTCTCCGCCTGCAGCACAGATGTAGGACTGACGCCCTCGCCTCAGAGATGCTATTAAAGCTGGACCCGGAAATCATTCTATATCCGAGAAAAAATATTCTGCACTTCCAAGATAGCTATGAGTGTAAACAATTGGGATTATATATCTTGCATTTTATTCTTTGAGGCTGTTTCTCCAGAACAGTCAATTATTCTTGCTTAAAAACAACTCCAGATTCTTCACATATACCTTCCAAGGTTTAAATCAGTAACTTCGTGCAAAGGTACAACCGATCACGTTACAGTCGTTTGCCTTTTATAAATAGTTCTGTTTTCTTTTTACAAGGGCTTTTTTAGAAACAAAAAATGTCGATTGATAATAAAAAACACACACCAAAATGTAAGTTGTTCAATAGCTGAAATCTAACAGCGACCACTGCGATGATTCGGTGAGGTCTTGTCTAAGAGGACGGTTACACTTATGGTAACACATACTTGCTCTTTTTGCTCTATTGCAAACATAGCCACAACTGTTCATGTTCTAATAATGTACTGTCTAGGTTACCACATCTACTCGCCAAAGTGTGGTACTGCGCTTAGCCCAGTGCCAGCAGAACCACATCCTTACCTTTCTCCTCCAGTTTTAGCTGACCTTGTCGTTTCTTCCTCCACACGAAGAATACAGCAATCCCCGCTATGAGGAAGATCCCCCCAAACAACGCGCCGATCGCCACAGGACTGAACTCACTGGAACAGGAAGTACTCGCTGTTGATTTCTCTAGATGAATAACAGGCAAGTTCATATTCCTCTCATATAATAGTTTCAATACCTCCTTGTCTATTGCTTACACTTATGAAGAAATAGATCAATGATGGTAGTAACCGGTAATGTTCACAAATAATATAGATGTGTATTTCATAGCAAACATACAATATCAACAAACTTTATCATCCAGAAAGTCATCGGTTTTCGTCGGTCGTTGGTCTTCGTCAGTCTGTTACATGCAGTGTGTCTAGGAAGATGTGAGCATGTAGGGTGTCCACGAAGATGTAGTGTGTCACTGAAGATGTAGGGTGTCACTGAAGATGTAGCGTGTCACTGAAGATGTGGTGTGTCACTGAAGATGTGGTGTGTCACTGAAGATGTAGTGTCACTGAAGATGTAGTGTGTCGAAGACGGTACAGGGTGTCCAGGAAGATGTAGTGTGTCACTGAAGATGTAGGTGTGTCACTGAAGATGTAGTGTGTCACTGAAGATGTAGTGAGTGAAAGACGGTTACAGGGTGTCCAGAGAGATGTAGTGAGTGAAAGACTGTACACGTGTCCAGGAAGATGTATTGTGACCAGGCAGGTGTGTTGCTTCCTGGGGACGTAACGTGTACATGTGGGTGGACCCAGGGACAGCCAGTTCAGTAACATCAAGGCGTATCTGTTATATACGGGTGGACCACAAGTGCCTGTAAAACACATTGGAACATGAAGTTGGTGTCAAAGGACTAGCACTCAGCTGGTTCTCCTCATATGTAAACTCTCTTCCCGCGGTTATCGGCTCTCATGACTGTGGTCACTATGCCTATGCTGATGACAATCAGGTAACCAGGATTCTTAATCTGCAATCTCCAGTCACTGATCTACAGACCATAGACAGTGGCGTTTACGATATAAAGACCTGGATGAACACAAGGAAACTCCAACTGAATGATGACAAAACAAAGTTGCTCGTCCTTGGAAATCCCAAACAGCTGCAGAAAACCTCCATCTGCAAGTCAACCATCTTTATAAGAACTGTCACTATTATCTGCGAAGCATCAGCTCCATTAGAAATCTCATCACATCAGAAAGTGCTCATTCTTTGGTTCGATCCATGAATACTCTCTCGACTCGACTACTGCAACAGTCTGCACTTTGGCACCAGTTCAACTCAACTTCAGAAACTTCAAAACTTACTCAGCAGCTCGCATCGTCTGCCTCAAGTCCAAGAAAGATCATATCACACTTCACTGATGTCTCTACACTGGTTGCCTGTCAAATTCCTGATTGACTTCAAAATTCTATGTATCACTTTCAAAGCTCTACATGGACAAACACCTGAATACCTCTCCAGTCTTCTGTGTCAGTACATCCCACCCCGACCATTACGATCCCAGAATCACCAGCTATTTGTCATTCCTAAAGTTCGACTCTCATCCTATGGGAAGAGATCATTCCAACACGCAGCCGCCAGTCTCTGGAACAACTTGCCCACACACATCAAGAATGCTGAATCTTTGGACACATTTAAATCGTCTCTAAAAGCCCACTTTTTTCGTCTTGCCTATTACTAGACTTTCTATGTTCAATTGTCTCTCTGTAAATAGTTTTAACTATTTTCTTTTCTCCTATAGTATTGTAGCGCCATGAGCGGGTATTAGTACCTGGCAGAGCGCTATATAAATACCCACATTATTATTATTATTATTGTTACCTAGGGTTAACCATTCCAGTAACATCAAGGCGTACCTGTTATATACGGGTGGACCAAGGGATAACCATTCCAGTAACATCAAGGCGTATCTGTTATATACGGGTGGGCCCGGGGATAACCATTCCAGTAACATCAAGGCGTATCTGTTATATACGGGTGGGCCCGGGGATAACCATTCAAGTAACATCAAGGCGTATCTGTTATATACGGGTGGACCAAGGGATAACCATTCCAGTAACATCAAGGCGTATCTGTTATATACGGGTGGACCAAGGGATAACCATTCCAGTAACATCAAGGCGTATCTGTTATATACCCGGCATCAAGGGATACCCCGGGGATAACCATTCCAGTAACATCAAGGCGTATCTGTTATATACGGGTGGACCCAGGGATAACCATTCCAGTAAGGCGTATCATCAAAGGCGTATCTGTTATATACGGGTGGACCAAGGGATAACCATTCCAGTAGCATCAAGGCGTATCTGTTATATACGGGTGGACCCAGAGATAACCATTCCAGTAACATCAAGGCGTATCTGTTATATACGGGTGGACCCAGAGATAACCATTCCAGTAACATCAAGACGTATCTGTTATATACGGGTGGACCAAGGGATAACCATTCCACTAACATCAAGGCGTATCTGTTATATACGGGTGGACCAAGGGATAACCATTCCAGTAACATCAAGGCGTATCTGTTATATACGGGTGGACCCAGAGATAACCATTCCAGTAACCATTCCATAACATCAAGGATAACCATCTGTGTTATATACGGGTGGACCAAGGGATAACCATTCCAGTAACATCAAGGCGTATCTGTTATATACGGGTGGACCAAGAGATAACCATTCCAGTAACATCAAGGCGTATCTGTTATATACGGGTGGACCAAGGGATAACCATTCCAGTAACATCAAGGCGTATCTGTTATATACGGGTGGACCCAGAGATAACCATTCCACTAACATCAAGGCGTATCTGTTATATACGGGTGGACCCAGGGATAACCATTCCAGTAACATCAAGGCGTATCTGTTAGATACGGGTGGACCAAGGGATAACCATTCCAGTAACATCAAGGCGTATCTGTTATATACGGGTGGACCAAGAGATAACCATTCCAGTAACATCAAGGCGTACCTGTTATATACGGGTGGACCAAGAGATAACCATTCCAGTAACATCAAGGCGTATCTGTTAGATACGGGTGGACCAAGGGATAACCATTCCAGTAACATCAAGGCGTATCTGTTATATACGGGTGGACCCAGAGATAACCATTCCACTAACATCAAGGCGTATCTGTTATATACGGGTGGACCCAGGGATAACCATTCCAGTAACATCAAGGCGTATCTGTTAGATACGGGTGGGGAACCTGAAGTGATGGTGTTGATTAACCTAGAATCACTACCCGGACGAAAATGGATTTGAACAATCACACGTTTCCAGTTTGACGGAAGAGCGTGCATTGCCATGGTGACAGACTTAAGCTTAGTCACACTTCAGATTTTGCTAAGACATTTTCATGAATCCGTTTTAGCCCGGGTCCCTACTAAGCCATAAAAAAAAAAATAATAATAAAAAAAATAGATAAATAAACTTAGACAAGTTTCGTGCTAAGCAATTTTCAGACCTAAGACACTTTCATGATCCCGGCATCTGTCCCCGACCGTCTCAGTGAATATACTATGTTTTAACTTAAAACAAATTAAAACAAAGACCACGGTGTGATTTACAAACTGCCGACTTCTACTTGCAATCCATTCTCATCACATTGTTACTGTACATCCCAATTCACATCTTTGTTGTTTTAGTTAATTATTTACTGTATCTTAGTCACCTGTTATCTACCTAACTCATACTTGCTTGACAACGATACAAGAATCTGTATTGAAACGTCGCATCTACCGAATAAAGAAGTTGTTTATCCATAAAGTTTGTCTGTATACATCCCGACTGACAGTAGCCACTTGAATCAATACCCCCACACTGCGACTACTGTGTTTCAGCTTTGTCTGCAGTGCCACGGGACTCAGCTCGTGAGTCGGCCGATGCGTACATTACCCACACCATGTATTATTCAAGAAATGGCTGATGCAGGCATTGGAAGCTCGCCAAGAAGTTATCACGCTCTGTGGATTCCGCGTTATTTCATTTTAGTCATGTTATCGATCTGCGTTTTCCGTATTCAGATGAGAAGAATGTACGTCATGCCCCATTTGTCCTGGGTTCGAATCCTATATTCCTGCTGTGAAATTGTGTTTGTTCGGCAGCTTCTCACTCTCTGCATTTCGACAAAGTAGTAATCGCCAAATGGAATTTGTTATGTCTTGTAATCGAGAAATGTTATTCTCTGGCGCTACATAGCAATTGAATATTAAATCATTTAAACTCGGTGGCAAAGGGGTCTACCCGACATGCTAACCAGTCTGACAAAGTTGCCCCAGCTTCCCCCTCTTCACGAGACGCTGCTACAGCACTGTGTGTTTTGGATAATGGTAGGGCTGATTTCAGCTTACTTTGGGCCGATATCACTGGACTCGACAGTACTGTACTTTGGGCCAATATCACATATGGATCGATTGCACAAACTGGCAAGGTTAGATAATTCACAGATTGCAAATACAGTGCGCACAGTTGATGTGTACAGCGACAAGACAAGTCGACATACCATGACGCTGAATGTGCCGTGAACGCAACACGATCTGATAGTCTGGTGGACATTGGCATTGCTAAGTGCAAACAGTTCCCAGGAGCGATAGAATGGTATAAAGTCACATCACAAGAACCTTGTTATATTTTGACAAGAATGTTTAAAAAGTAGGCCCTAGACAGGGTCCTCCTCTTACATCTCTATCGTACTTGGAACCTTACCAATGTCTATCTCTGGAATTCTGAGACCGCTTACAATGTCAATCTCTAAAGTACTTAGACCCTTTACAATGTCAATCTCTAAAGTACGTAGACCCCTTACAATGTCAATCTCTAAAGTACTTAGACCCCTTACAATGTCTATCTCTAAAGTACTTAGACCCTTTACAATGTCTATCTCTAAAGTACTTAGACCCTTTACAATGTCAATCTCTAAAGTACTTAGACCCCTTACAATGTCAATCTTATAAAGTACTTTAGACCCTTTACAATGTCAATCTCTAACGTACTTAGACCCTTACAATGTCTATCTCTAAAGTACTTAGACCCCTTACAATGTCTATCTCTAAAGTACGTAGACCCCTTACAATGTCAATCTCTAAAGTACTTAGACCCTTTACAATGTCAATCTCTAAAGTACTTAGACCCTTTACAATGTCAATCTCTAATGTACTTAGACCCCTTTACAATGTCAATCTCTAAAGTACTTAGACCCTTTACTTACAATGTCTATCTTAGACCCTTAAATGTCAATCTCTAAAGACTTAGACCCTTTACAATGTCAATCTCTAACGTACTTAGACCCCTTACAATGTCTATCTCTACAGTACTTAGACCCTTTACAATGCCAATCTCTAACGTACTTAGACTCCTTACAATGTCAATCTCTAAAGTACTTAGACCCTTTGTCAATGTCAATCTCTACAATGTCAATTTCTAAAGTACTTAGACCCCGTGCAATGTCTATCTCTACAGTACTTAGACCCTTTACAATGCCAATCTCTAACGTACTTAGACCACTTAGGTCAATCTCTAAAGTACTTAGACAATGTCAATCTCTAAAGTACTTAGACCCCTTACAATATCTATCTCTAAAGTACGTAGACCCCTTACAATATCTATCTCTAAAGTACTTAGACCACTTACAATGTCTATCTCTAATGTACGTAGACCCCTTACAATGTCAATCTTTAAAGTACTTAGACCCCTTACAATGTCTATCTCTAAAGTACTTAGACCCCTTACAATGTCAATCACTAACGTACTTAGACCCTTTACAATGTCAATCTCTAACGTACTTAGACCCCTTACAATGTCAATCTCTACAGTACTTAGACCCTTTACAATGTCAATCTCTACAGTACTTAGACCCCTTGCAATGTCAATCTCTACAGTACTTAGACCCTTTACAATGTCAATCTCTAACGTACTTAGACCCCTTACAATGTCAATCTCTAAAGTACTTAGACCCCAAACAATGCCTATCTCTAGAGCATTAAGACCCCTTACAATCACCTTCTCGAAAGTACTTAGACCTATTACAGTGTCTATCTCTGTAGCACTACGACCTCTTCCGACGTCCATCTCTGACAAATACCTTGTGTTTGAATCTTTGAAGAAGGAGAGCTTCTATCTTACCTATTCACTGGTCCGGCACAACAGTACTCCGTTTCCTCGTCGCCACAGCAGAAGTTTTTGTCGTCGTCGTCGTCGTCCCCTGGACAGTAGAACAAACCTGGCAATACTGGCTGCGTCGTGTTGTCAGACACGTCCGTGCTGTCGTTGGCGTTGGTGTTGTCATAGACATCGACGTTCTGGCAGATAGTGGGCACTGTGAATTGACATTGAGCAATAGTTTGGTATGTCAGTTTGAGGTAATGACTCATCAGTGACACCTATTGGTCGTTGTAGGTGCCATATAGTCGGTGTAAGGTGTTCAATGGCAGGGTGAACATTGCAGAGTGATGTATGTCAGGGTAGTCGTGTTGAATGTCTGGGTGTTGAATGTGAGGGTGATGTTGGCCGGTTGTTGAATATGAAGGTGTTGAATGTCAGGGTGTTGAATGTCTGTATGTTGAATGTGTGGGTGATGTTTGTCGGGTGTTGTATGCCAGGGTGTTGAATATCAGGGTGATGTTGGTCGGGTGTTGTATGTCAGGGTGTTGAATGTGAGGGTGTTGAATGTGAGGGTGATGAATGTCAGGGTGTTGAATGTCTGCGTGTTGAATGTCAGGGTGTTGAATGCCAGGGTGTTGAATGTCAGGGTGATGTTGGCCGGGTGTTGAATGTGAAGGTGTTGAATGTCAGGGTGTTGAATGTGAAGGTGTTGAATGTCAGGGTGTTGAATGTGAAGGTGCTGAATGTGAGGGTGATGTTTGTCCGGGTGTGTTTTTTCAGGGCGTTTAATATCAGGGTGGTGAATGTCAGTGTGTTGTATACAAGTTGAGTTACAATTCAAGTCATTTCCACAACCATATCCATTATAAACATGTGTTTATGAACAAAGTTTCAAACCAGGTGTTCCCGAAAATGGTTTTGGAAATGGTGTGTGCCGACGGACAGTGTATGGCTAGTGTTTGTAGTTGAGGTGGATGATTGCAGTTTGTACTTAAAGACTGTTGTACTTTACTGTTGGTTTTCTCCACACAACGATTCCTTGTACTGCCGACCACGGCTAATCCTGGTCAACTAGAAGCGACATAACGACTGGTGTATATTGAGCATCATACCTCCCGGTCTTCCAACCCTAGCATTACATATACAACAACTACTAGATATTGAAGAAACCCCTAGCATCACATATACAACAACTACTAGATATTGAAGAAACCCCTAGCATCACATATACAACAACTACTAGATATTGAAGAAACCCCTAGCATCACATATACAACAACTACTAGATATTGAAGAAACCCCTAGCATCACATATACAACAACTACTAGATATTGAAGAAACCCCTAGCATATACACATATACAACAACTACTAGATATTGAAGAAACCCTAGCATCACATATACAACAACTACTAGATATTGAAGAAACCCTAGCATCACATATACAACAACTACTAGATATTGAAGAAACCCTAGCATCACATATACAACAACTACTAGATATTGAAGAAACCCCCCTAGCATCACATATACAACAACTACAGATATTGAAGAAACTAGCACATTAGATAGCATCACATATACAACAACTACTAGATATTGAAGCATCAATATACAACCCTAGCATCACATATATACAACAACTACTAGATATTGAAGAAACCCCTAGCATCACATATACAACAACTACTAGATATTGAAGAAACCCCTAGCATCACATATACAACAACTACTAGATATTGAAGAAACCCCTAGCATCACATATACAACAACTACTAGATATTGAAGAAACCCCTAGCATCACATATACAACAACTACTAGATATTGAAGAAAGAGCATCACTATACAACAACATATACAACAACTACTAGATATTGAAGAAACCCCTAGCATCACATATACAACAACTACTACATATTGAAGAAACCCCTTATTGTACACAGAATATTTGATGATTGCAGTTACTTCTGTTGTTCGAGCAGTAATTCCGAGAACCTACTTGTGTCGGGGGTGTTGTTGTAGCGGACGGTGTCGAAGTAGGCCACCCCATTGTACACGTCGCCACGCATGAAGGCTGCCTCCCAAGTCGCTGCGGTCAAGCCGTAGGTGCCCTGTGGGGAAATGACTTATTGTCTTAGGTTATCTGTGTTAGGTAGTAATGATCTGCCGTGTCAGTTAAATATGGTTGTACAGTCCACAGTGGTGCAGGTCGGGCACATGCAGTAGATGACACGAGGGAGTCGGGCACATGCAGTAGATGACACGAGGGAGTCGGGCACATGCAGTAGATGACACGAGGGAGTCGGGCACATGCAGTAGATGACACGAGGGAGTCGGGCACATGCAGTAGATGACACGAGGGAGTCGGGCACATGCAGTAGATGACACGAGGGAGTCGGGCACATGCAGTAGATGACACGAGGGAGTCGGGTACATGCAGTAGATGACACGAGGGAAGTCCGGGTACATGGTTGACCACAAGGCTCAGAACCTGGCACGCCCGGGGGACGAAACTCGGCACAGTGAATGTTCAGGAAGATATAAGTATTATTGTAGGTTACGAACACAGAATATATATCGAGTGAAGGGACAAGACAGATATACTGTGTGTGGAGAAGATGATCTTACCTTGTGGCGCCGGGGTTCGTTGTCAGTGTTTTTGCGTTCGTGTTCATCTGGAAACTCTGGAAATATACGACCAAGAATGAGCAATAAGTTAACACTGAGAGCGTCCTTGTCAATAACGACTACCTATTCCAGTGAAGGGCTTGGTGAGTGAAATATAGCGATAGAGATGAGGTTTGTTCGGCATATCACAATGTAACATTGATGACCATGGGAATGGTTGTGGCACCAGTGATACTTCTCAGTATGTATTCTCAGTGCTTCTGAAAACTTAATCTACGTCGGGCTGTTATTGGCGAAGATGTTTTCTTCTGGGTAGTCAGAAAGTGAACAAGAAATATGTCATGTTCTCTCCAGGCAGTGGTGGACTTTGGTGCCAAATCGATGACATCTTGCCCGTGTGTGTACGACTGAACGACATGTACACCCAGATAGTCGGGGGCAACAAAGAGACATGAACACTGTGTCGCTTCTGATGGAAAACTAGCCTGTGTTGACTGGGACGTATATACACAACATTATGTCCGTTACTGTATCGACCCGTCGAGATCCGGGTTAGAATTAACCTTCAGTAACCCATGCTTGTCGTAAGAGGCGACTAACGGGATCGGGTGGTCAGACTCTCTGACTTGGTTGACACATGTCATCGTTTGCCAGATGCGTAGATCGATGCTTATGATATCGAACGCGGCATTTTCTGGTCCAACCTCTATAATGTACACACCGCCATTATAAACATACCAATATGTAATGGCAATGCTGGCAGTATCGGTGTATACGTATTAAGGTGAGAGGAACATCAGGAATCAGGACTGACGATACCTGTACGTCATGTAGAACTGAACAAAATCATTTAAGGCAGTTTAAAGATATACTTGTTACAGACATGTGACTTTACTGGTGTAACATATTCCTGTCACAGACATGTGACTTTACCGGTGTAACATATTCCTGTTACAGACATGTGACTTTACTGGTGTAACATATACCTGTCACAGACATGTGACTTTACTGGTGTAACATATATCTGTCACAGACATTTGACTTTACCGGTGTAACATATTCCTGTCACAGACATGTGACTTTACTGGTGTAACATATACCTGTTACAGACATTTGACTTTACCGGTGTGACATATTCCTGTTACAGACATGTGACTTTACTGGTGTAACATATACCTGTCACAGACATGTGACTTTACTGGTGTAACATATACCTGTCACAGACATGTGACTTTACCGGTGTGACATATTCCTGTTACAGACATGTGACTTTACTGGTGTAACATATACCTGTCACAGACATGTGACTTTACTGGTGTAACATATACCTGTCACAGACATGTGACTTTACTGGTGTGACATATACCTGTTACAGACATGTGACTTTACCGGTGTGACATATCAGATCGGACATACCTTCCCGGTACTTGACTTTCCCCTTCACCCTCTTCTGCTTACGCTTCGTGGTGGATCTGGTGTTGCTGGACCGGGTGTTACTGGACCGGGTGTTACTGGACCGGGTGTTACTGGACCGGGTGTTACTGGACTTGGAGTTCAAGGCCACTCCAACGTTGCCCCTCGCGGCGTCACCTGCACCAACGGAGTTCGGAGTCCTTTAAACTATCGTTACAAACGTTTCACTTTAATCAAAGGCATGCAGAGAAGCCTCATAATCACCAACTACAGATCACCAGACTGTATGCTATAATGTATGACCTACTCACACACTGACTGATTTAACAGGTTCCTGTTCCGGGAACACCTGCAGTCATATATGATCGTGGTTCATTAAACTCTCCTTCTGTTTCAGTTGGAGTCGTGCAACAGACGATGCTTTTATCGGAGATTTCTCCTGATGACGACAAGGGTTTTGTCGCTGATATTTACATTCAGAGATAGGGTGAACTTGAAATGTCTGACTCAGAGGAAAATATCTCAAGGTAAATGTTGATCCTGGTCAGCTGGCCGGCTTGAAACTCGCTATAACAGTAATAAACAATACAAGCAATTTCGATGACGATGACGACGGTAATAGTGGTGAGCGAGTGGTGCCGTTTTACCGTTATACCAGTTATATCCCGAATCACGATGTGTCAACTTGATGTAGGGGCAGGTCGCAGATGTTTACCACTTTGGTGAAACCCATGGACCCCGGACTGGTGAAACCCATGGACCCCGGACTGGTGAGACCCATGTACCCCGGACTGGTGAGACCCATGTACCCCGGATTGGTGAAACCCATGGACCCCGGACTGGTGAGACCAATGTACCCCGGACTGGTGAGACCCATGTACCCCGGACTGGTGAGACCCATGTACCCCGGACTGGTGAGACCCATGTACCCCGGACTGGTGAGACCCATGTACCCCGGACTGGTGAGACCCATGTACCCCGGACTGGTGAGACCCATGTACCCCGGACTGGTGAGACCCATGTACCCCGGACTGGTGAGACACATGTACCCCGGACTGGTGAGACCCATGTACCCCGGACTGGTGAGACCCATGTACCCGGACTGGTGAGACCCATGTACCCCGGACTGGTGAGACCCATGTACCCCGGACTGGTGAGATCCATGAACAGGGATACGCTGAGATCAGTGAACGCGAACATAATGAAACCAATGAACACGAACATGGTACGACCCATGAACTCTAACATGATGAGAGTCATGGACAGAAAGACGGTGATACTCATGAACAGAAAGACGGTGATACTCATGAACAGAAACACGGTGATACTCATGGACAGAAACACGGTGATACTCATGAACAGAAACACGGTGAGACCCATGGACAGAAACACGGTGATACTCATGAACAGAAACACGGTGATACTCATGAACAGAAACACGGTGATACTCATGGACAGAAACACGGTGAGACTCATGGACAGAAACACGGTGAGACTCATGGACAGAAACACGGTGAGACTCATGGACAGAAACACGGTGATACTCATGGACAGAAACACGGTGATACTCATGAACAGAAACACGGTGATACTCATGAACAGAAACACGGTGATACTCATGGACAGAAACTTACGGTGAGACTCATGGACAGAAACACGGTGATACTCATGGAACAGAAACACGGTGATACTCATGGACAGAAAGACGGTGATACTCATGAACAGAAACACGGTGATACTCATGAACAGAAACACGGTGATACTCATGGACAGAAAGACGGTGATACTCATGAACAGAAACACGGTGATACTCATGAACAGAAACACGGTGATACTCATGGACAGAAAGACGGTGATACTCATGAACAGAAACACGGTGATACTCATGGACAGAAACACGGTGATACTCATGAACAGAAACACGGTGATACTCATGGACAGAAAGACGGTGATACCCATGGACAGAAAGACGGTGATACTCATGAACAGAAACACGGTGATACTCATGGACAGAAAGACGGTGATACTCATGGACAGAAAACACGGTGATACTCATGAACAGAAACACGGTGATACTCATGGACAGAAAGACGGTGATACTCATGAACAGAAACACGGTGATACTCATGAACAGAAACACGGTGATACTCATGGACAGAAACACGGTGATACTCATGAACAGAAACACGGTGATACTCATGGACAGAAAGACGGTGATACTCATGGACAGAAACACACGGATACTCCATGGACAGAAAGACGGTGATACTCATGAACAGAAACACGGTGATACTCATGGACAGAAAGACGGTGATACCTCATGAACAGAAACACGGTGATACCTATGGACAGAAAGACGGTGATACCTCATGGACAGAAAGACGGTGATACTCATGGACAGAAAGACGGTGATACTCATGGACAGAAAGACGGTGATACTCATGAACAGAAACACGGTGATACTCATGGACAGAAACACGGTGATACTCATGGACAGAAACACGGTGATACTCATGGACAGAAAGACGGTGATACTCATGAACAGAAACACGGTGATACTCATGGACAGAAAGACGGTGATACTCATGAACAGAAACACGGTGATACTCATGGACAGAAAGACGGTGATACTCATGAACAGAAACATGGTGATACTCATGGACAGAAAGACGGTGATACTCATGGACAGAAAGACGGTGATACTCATGAACAGAAACACGGTGATACTCATGGACAGAAAGACGGTGATACTCATGGACAGAAAGACGGTGATACTCATGGACAGAAAGACGGTGATACTCATGGACAGAAAGACGGTGATACTCATGAACAGAAACACGGTGATACCATGGACAGAAAGACGGTGATACCATGGACAGAAAGACGGTGATACTCATGGACAGAAAGACGGTGATACTCATGAACAGAAACACGGTGATACTCATGGACAGAAAGACGGTGATACTCATGAACAGAAACACGGTGATACTCATGGACAGAAAGACGGTGATACTCATGGACAGAAAGACGGTGATACTCATGGACAGAAAGACGGTGATACTCATGGACAGAAAGACGGTGATACTCATGAACAGAAACACGGTGATACTCATGGACAGAAAGACGGTGATACTCATGAACAGAAACACGGTGATACTCATGGACAGAAAGACGGTGATACTCATGGACAGAAACACGGTGATACTCATGGACAGAAAGACGGTGATACTCATGAACAGAAACACGGTGAGACTCATGGACAGAAAGACGGTGATACTCATGGAACAGAAAGACGGTGATACTCATGGACAGAAAGACGGTGATACTCATGAACAGAAACACGGTGATACCTGAACAGAAACACGGTGAGACCCATGGACAGAAACACGGTGAGACTCATGAACAGAAAGACGGTGATACTCATGAACAGAAACACGGTGAGACTCATGGAACAGAAAAGACGGTGATACTCATGAACAGAAACACGGGTGATACTCATGAACAGAAAGACGGTGATACTCATGAACAGAAACACGGTGATACTCATGGACAGAAAGACGGTGATACTCATGGACAGAAACACGGTGATACTCATGGACAGAAAGACGGTGATACTCATGGACAGAAAGACGGTGATACTCATGGACAGAAAGACGGTGATACTCATGAACAGAAACACGGTGATACTCATGGACAGAAAGACGGTGATACTCATGAACAGAAAGACGGTGAGACTCATGAACAGAAACACGGTGATACTCATGGACAGAAAGACGGTGATACTCATGGACAGAAACACGGTGATACTCATGGACAGAAAGACGGTGATACTCATGAACAGAAAGACGGTGATACTCATGGACAGAAAGACGGTGATACTCATGGACAGAAAGACGGTGATACTCATGAACAGAAACACGGTGATACTCATGGACAGAAAGACGGTGATACTCATGGACAGAAAGACGGTGATACTCATGAACAGAAACACGGTGATACCGCGAACAGAAAGACGGTGATACTCATGAACAGAAAGACGGTGATACTCATGAACAGAAACACGGTGAGACTTCATGAACAGAAACACGGTGAGACTCATGAACAGAAACACGGTGATACTCATGAACAGAAACACGGTGAGACTCATGAACAGAAACACGGTGAGACTCATGAACAGAAACACGGTGATACTTCATGAACAGAAACACGGTGAGACTCATGAACAGACAGAAAGACGGTGATACTCATGAACAGAAACACGGTGATACTCATGAACAGAAACACGGTGATACTCATGGACAGAAACACGGTGATACTCATGAACAGAAAGACGGTGATGAGACTCATGAACAGAAACACGGTGAGACTCATGAACAGAAAGACGGTGATACTCATGAACAGAAACACGGTGATACTCATGGACAGAAAGACGGTGATACTCATGAACAGAAACACGGTGATACTCATGAACAGAAACACGGTGATACTCATGAACAGAAACACGGTGAGACCCATGAACAGAAACACGGTGATACTCATGAACAGAAACACGGTGATACTCATGGACAGAAACACGGTGATACTCATGGACAGAAACACGGTGAGACTCATGAACAGAAACACGGTAGATACTCATGGACAGAAAGACGGTGATACTCATGAACAGAAACACGGTGGAGATACTCATGGACAGAAAGACGGTGATACTGATGAACAGAAACACGGTGAGACCCATGGACAGAAAGACGGTGATACCTATGGACAGAAAGATTCGGTGATACTCATGAACAGAAACACGGGTGAGACTCATGAACAGAAACACGGTGATACTCATGGACATAAACACGGTGATACTCATGGACAGAAACACGGTGATACTCATGGACAGAAACACGGTGATACTCATGGACAGAAAGACGGTGATACTCATGAACAGAAACACGGTGATACTCATGGACAGAAAGACGGTGATACTCATGAACAGAAACACGGTGATACTCATGAACAGAAACACGGTGATACTCATGAACAGAAACACGGTGATACTCATGGACAGAAAGACGGTGAGACCCATGAACAGAAACACGGTGATACTCATGAACAGAAACACGGTGATACTCATGAACAGAAAGACGGTGAGACCCATGAACAGAAACACGGTGATACTCATGAACAGAAACACGGTGAGACTCATGAACAGAAACACGGTGAGACTCATGAACAGAAAGACGGTGAGACCCATGAACAGAAACACGGTGATACTCATGAACAGAAACACGGTGAGACTCATGAACAGAAACACGGTGATACTCATGAACAGAAACACGGTGATACTCATGGACAGAAAGACGGTGATACTCATGAACAGAAACACGGTGAGACCCATGAACAGAAACACGGTGAGACTCATGAACAGAAACACGGTGATACTCATGAACAGAAACACGGTGATACTCATGAACAGAAAGACGGTGATACTCATGAACAGAAAGACGGTGAGACTCATGAACAGAAACACGGTGAGACTCATGAACAGAAACACGGTGAGACTCATGAACAGAAACACGGTGATACTCATGAACAGAAACACGGTGATACTCATGAACAGAAACACGGTGAGACCCATGAACAGAAACACGGTGAGACTCATGAACAGAAACACGGTGATACTCATGAACAGAAACACGGTGATACTCATGAACAGAAACACGGTGAGACCCATGAACAGAAACACGGTGATACTCATGAACAGAAACACGGTGAGACTCATGAACAGAAACACGGTGAGACTCATGAACAGAAACACGGTGAGACTCATGAACAGAAACACGGTGATACTCATGAACAGAAAGACGGTGAGACCCATGAACAGAAACACGGTGATACTCATGAACAGAAACACGGTGAGACTCATGAACAGAAACACGGTGAGACTCATGAACAGAAAGACGGTGAGACCCATGAACAGAAACACGGTGATACTCATGAACAGAAAGACGGTGAGACCCATGAACAGAAACACGGTGATACTCATGAACAGAAAGACGGTGAGACCCATGAACAGAAACACGGTGATACTCATGAACAGAAACACGGTGAGACCCATGAACAGAAACACGGTGAGACTCATGAACAGAAACACGGTGAGACTCATGAACAGGAACACGATGAGACTCATGAACAGGGACACGATGAGACTCGTGAATAGGAACATGGTGAGACTCGTAAACATAAACATGGTGAGACCCATGAACAGGGACACGGTGAGACTCGTGAACAGGAACACGGTGAGACCCATGAACATACACATGGTGAGGCCCATCAGCATACACATGGTGAGACCCATGAACATACACATGGTGAGACCGACCCATGGACATACACATGGTGAGACCCATGAACATACACATGGTGAGACCGACCCATGGACATACACATGGTGAGACCCATGAACATACACATGGTGAGACCCACAGACACGGACATGGTGCTTAACAACAAAGCGAAGCGGGATTCGAACCCGTCGGATTTCTGTCACACATAAGGAACTCATCTCTGCATAGCGAATTGCATCACTTCTAGCGCCAAGATCAATAATATGGGTGTTTAAACTATTAACTGTATAACTGATGGGATGTTGCACGTGTTGGTGTGTAACTTATGGAGGAAGCGGTAGTGGCGAGCGGTTGAAGCATGCCTGGTGAATCATCTAGTATATCGATCGGCGTGAAGTTTGTTTGTAGAATCACTTGGGCCCAGACGTCATGGTTTATGACCTTGCCGATACGTCTACATACATTGGGTACAGATCGTTAACCTCCTCACAGCACACGTCTTGATGTATATCACTTGACGTATGGCAGTATAGTCCCAGGGGAGCACTTCCTTACGTCAATCTGACGTGCAGTCATCTCACAGTGTATGCAACATGTTGGTTGTGGTAAAGCCAATCACTTGTCCAACAGCTCGCACAGCCAGTGAACAGGTTCGCCCAACTGTGGCTTCTACTGCGTACAGCACGCACAAACTATCAGATCTGTTTCGGCGTTCCGTTAAAATATACGGACTAAACTTTCTTTCATCTGATGTTTGGTCTAATACTCGGCATTACCATTATATTTCATGATCCGCGCCTTTTTATAAAGAGTAGAGTAAGATTGCACGATGGGCGTTGCTCGGGCAGACAGGCTGACAGTTTCACATTAATACAACTGCATGACGGGCACCCTGCAGACGATAGATGTCGCTTGTTGACTGCTAAATATTGTGTAATACGTAATTCCACATCCATCCTACGGGAATTCAAAGCAAAACCTAATCAATAACAAATGCGCATAATTTAGAAAGTTATCTTTTGATACACTGATCAAAGCATTTTTGCCCTTGCTATAATATCAACGTTAACAAAAGCTGCTTATGGACGTAAAGAGATCATCTTCCCTTTCCCATTGAAACCAGGTTCCGATTGTGTGTGCACTCTCCCCCTAGTTGGACGTTCAGCCAGACACAGAAAAAGTTCTAGAGTTGTGGCAGACACATCATGAGGCGGAGACACATCTCTCGGTGCTCCCGTCCAGATCTACTCGGTGGATGAAAACTGAACTACTCGGTAGATGGACACAAAACTACTCGGTGGATGGACACAGAACTACTCGGTAGATGGACACAGAACTACTCGGTGGATGGACACAGATCTACTCAGTGGATGGAAACAGAACCACTCGGTGAATGGACACAGATCTACTCAGTGGATGGAAACAGAACTACTCGGTGAATGGACACATATCTACTCGGTGGATGGACACAGATCTACTCAGTGGATGGAAACAGAACTACTCGGTGGATGTACACAGATCTACTCAGTGGATGGAAACAGAACTACTCGGTGAATGGACACATATCTACTCGGTGGATGGACACAGAACTACTCGGTGGATGTACACAGATCTACTCAGTGGATGGAAACAGAACTACTCGGTGAATGGACACATATCTACTCGGTGGATGGACACAGATCTACTCAGTGGATGGAAACAGAACCACTCGGTGGATGTACACAGATCTACTCAGTGGATGTACACAGATCTACTCGGTGGATGGACACAGAACTACTCGGTGGATGGACACATATCTACTCAGTGGATGGAAACAGAACTACTCGGTGAATGGACACAGATCTACTCGGTGGATGGACAAAGATCTACTCAGTGGATGGAAACAGAACTACTCGGTGAATGGACACAGATCTATCTACTACTCGGTGGATGGACACAGAACCACTCGGTGAATGGAAACAGAACTGCTCGGTGAATGGACACAGATCTACTCAGTGGATGGACAAAGATCTACTCAGTGGATGGAAACAGAACCACTCGGTGAATGGTCTCAGATCTGGTCGGTGAATGGACACATATCTACTCGGTGAATGGACACATATCTACTCGGTGGATGGACACAGATCTACTCAGTGGATGGAAACAGAACCACTCGGTGAATGGACTCAGATCTGCTCGGTGAATGGACACATATCTACTCGGTGAATGGACACAGATCTACTCGGTGAATGGACACAGAACTACTCGGTGAATGGACACAGATCTGCTCGGTGAATGGACACATATCTACTCGGTGGATGGACACAGATCTACTCAGTGGATGGAAACAGAACTACTCGGTGGATGGACACAGATCTACTCAGTGGATGGACAAAGATCTACTCAGTGGATGGAAACAGAACCACTCGGTGAATGGACACATATCTACTCGGTGAATGGACACACATCTACTCGGTGAATGGACACAGATCTACTCGGTGAATGGACACAGATCTACTCGGTGAATGGACACAGATCTACTCGGTGAATGGAAACAGACCTACTCGGTGAATGGACACATATCTTCTCGGTGAATGGACACAGATCTACTCGGTGAATGGACACAGATCTACTCGGTGAATGGACACAGATCTACTCGGTGAATGGACACAGACCTACCCGGTGAATGTACACAGATATCGGTGAATGGACACATATCTACTTGGTGAATGGACACAGATCTACTCGGTGAATGGACACAGATCTACTCGGTGAATGGACACAGATCTACTCGGTGAATGGACACAGATCTACTCGGTGGATGGACACAGACCTAACATGTGTCCACAGATCTAGTCCCTGTATCCACACATCTCTCCGTATCTGCCGTTACAACACACTGCAATGCAATTACTCCGCTCGGCATGAAATATTGTTTATCCTAAAATATAGATCAATATAAAAACGACCTATAAAACCACAAAGACTGCAACAAGTGGAATCAGTTTCTAAACAGAACTAAACATGGCGTACTTTGAACAGACTTGTTACTGCAGCCCACCGATGTGCACGGGGAACCCATCCTCCTGCTGCACGTGCAGTTTAGCTGCCTAGTCAGAGCTCGCCCGACACACACACCCGGGGGGCCCCAGACCCTTCTTGTAGTGTGGCACTACGTGGATGGAAATCTACCGAAACATCTCGCGCCTCTTCCAGTCGGAATAAGACGGCTACTTGTACTTTGATTTAATCCAAGCGCACCGAACTATATAAAGGAGTGCGTGCACACCTACCTGATGAAATGAACACCAGACACCCCGCCAGCACCATCAGACACAGAACAAGGCAGCCATCCATGTTGCTTCCTCGTGTGCTCCCCGACAACCGCACCGGCTACTCACGCACACAAAGCGACGATGATATAATGAATTATGTTAAACTTGAAGACGCGGGGCCACCAAAGCCATAATAGCTGTGTGCATAAATGTTGATTTCAACCTCTTTGGTGTATTTTTATGCAAAGTTAAGTACGGGGCCAGGACAAGGGAGGCGTTTGGTAGGGAATGGTTATATAGCACTTAAGTAACACAGAGATGGGTTCTGCATCGTTATATATCAACAGAGATGCTGTGTTGAACATAGTTAAACAGAGTTGCAGTAGTGAGTGAGTGAGTAAATTTAGGTTTACGCCGCTTTTAGCAATATTCCAGCAACAATTTGGCGGATCCACAGAGAGGGGGTGTTGGTGGCGGCGGTGGTGTGCGCGTGTGTGTGTGTGTGGGGAGAGAGTGCGCGCGTGTGCCCTCGCCCCTGTTGTCTTTGAAGTTTATTAGTTAAGTTGAGTTGGGTTTTACGTCACATGGGCATTATTCCAGCCATATAGTGACGGGATCAAGTGTGATTTAATAAACGTTTTAAGTACAAAGTCCAAATGAGTTGTTATTAAAAAGCATATATATTATTAACATTGTTATAGCACCAAATTCGAACACAAGCAGTTCGTTATTCACATTACATAACTACAATGTATGATAAAGGTCAACTTCCCTGAAGTAGTTAACAATGAGATGCCCGCTAACGCGGGAAAACAGATCTTTCAGATTTGCCTCGCCATAATGTGAGTCCCTTGCAGTCGAAAAGTCTGCACAGTCAATCAGTATATGCTTGACCGCACTTCACCGCAAGAGACACACATGGGAGGTCCATCCCCATCAGTTTTCAGCAGATAGTCATGACTAAACCGACTGTGACCAATATGACATCGTCGTAAAATTACCTCATGTCGTCTTGACTGACAACCCAAGCAGGCATAACCCATTGTTGGCTTCAATTCATGAAGTTTATTTCTTCCTACTTGAGTGTCCCACCTTTTTGCATAAGGTCCCGAGTATAACTTTTGATAGTGGGTTTGAAATCACTGTACGGGATGGTTTACTCCCAAATGTTAGACGTCCCAAAAGTCATACATCCCAATTGTCAGACAAATCAATCAGGCGTGACTGTGATTACAACCTAGTCTTACCCACTGATATAATGAACCTGTCCCATACGCTAACGAGATGGTTTCACATTTGTACAGAAATACTTTGTTTGATCAGAATACTGATGTTGACTGGCTTACTCAATCACTGGGTTCTTCCAATGTGTTTTCACAATGTACTTACACATATACTTAACATGTCTAAGAAAAAAACTTTTCTGTGCAATTATTGACTTTACAAAAGCTTTCGACAATGTATAGAGATTGTCAAAGATCAATTTTTCCAAAGTTTGCAAGTTAATGTTCGTAACAGCCCAAAAGCTTCTTATTACCAATACCTGAAAAATTATCCATCTTTTGAAAAATACCTTTTATTACCCAGCTCTGTTCTATCCCAATCCTGCGTTCAGATCTTGTAATCACAATCTACCTGTTGAAACCGGAAGGTGGACTAATACACCAAGAGAACTCCGAACTTGCCAAGTTTGTAAAAGCCCAGCGATTGCTGACGATTTCACTATATTTTTAGATGTAAGGCATTTGCTGTGAAACGAGACCTTTATATTCCCCATAAATTCAATACATTTTCATATTTGTATACTTTTCAATCATTATTTACGTCTAAAAAATTGTCAATCTTAAAAAAGCTTTCCAGATTTATATCAATAATCACCTCAACACTCAAGAAACTTAATCGAATATAACCCAAATTAGCCTTCACCTTGTTTTGTATGCATAAATTGTATGTATTGTCTACTCTTGTACCACCGATGGGGGCTGAATGAGAATAAAGGAATTGGAATTGGAATTGGACACATGGATGGATGCCATGAACGAGACACCTGCCGTTCCCCGTACACAAGACATGAACAAGTACAATGTAGAAACATGGGTTGATTATGGGGCCCGATTTCCACTACATCTATTGAACCATCACCATACTGTCGGCCCTCGCACGAGCAACAACCTGGAAGGCTTCCACAATAGATTAAACAGGGCACTCCCACATCACCATCTAACATTTGTAGAGATCATCCAGAAGATTGAGATCGCAGAGAGAGCCAAACTCCAGCAGATCAACGTTGGTGCTGCTCCTCCATAGAGGAAGAGGGTCTACAGGGAAACTGAGAACAGGCTGATGCGTCTGCAAGAGAGACTGCGTGCAGGAGGGATGGCAAACATGGAGTTCCTCGATGCAGTTGGGCATTTGCTCAGACTTGGTTGACATTCTTGCCTGTATAGTGAATGATGTGAAAGATGTGAAATCTTAAATCTTGAATGATTTGATTGACCGTTTATTTATCTTGTTAAATTAACTTATTTTGTCTTTATGCCAAATGAAGTCATTACAAAGTCATCCATTGATCATTTGAATTATCTTGTTGAATTAACTTATTTTGTTTTATGTCAAATACAGTCATTGCCAGTATCCATAATCTCTTCTGTTTGTGTTTGGATTAGTACATTGGACTAGTCCATTCATTAACGAAGGTAACAGTGTAGTGAACCTCAGTTCAACCAACCATAACCTTTGTTGTTTTAATGCGTCTAACTTTTGGGACGTCTAACTTTTGGGGTCTAACTTAGCAGTGGAGATAAGGGCTTGTCAAGAGCTGCTTTAGCTGCAGCATCGGCCTTTGTGTTACATGCTATGCCGACGTGACCCGGCAACCAGCAGAGGACGATGTCACATTGGCCAGTAGAAAGATCGTTATAAAGTTCTAAATGTCTAGGATGATAGAGTGACTTGAAGTAACATTTTGAAGAGCTTCAAGGCAAGATAATGAGTCTGTAAAAACGATGAAGTTTTTGGAGTTGTTCTAGGTTTAATATAGGTCAGAGCTGTGAAGACAGCTTTGGCCTCAGCAGTGAAAATGGAACTATTGTCGGGAATTATGGAGGAGACAGTCTTGGAAATTAGGAAACAGATTTTCATATAGAGGGTTGAAAATACAATTGTATGCTGGATTGGACTCATTTGAACTCATTTAGATATATACTGCAGTGAAAGTTTAATGCGGCGTTGTTCAAGGGAAGGTTCGTTAGCCTCCGCACATAGACTGTCTACCGGAGGGGTCCTAAAAGCTCCCAGGCAGAGCCTCAGGCCTTGGTGGTGGATAGAATCTATGTTTTCTAAAGTGCTTTTGCAGACTCCGCCATAAACAATGGAGCCGTAATCTAGTTTCGAGCGAACCAAAAATCGGTACAAGTGAAGGAGGGTAGTCTGATCCCCTCCCCACTCTGTGTTTGAAATGACTTTTAGTAAATCCAGAGCCTTCAAGCACTTTGGTTTCAAATATTTTATGTGAGGTAAGAATGTCAAGTAACGGTCAAATATGAGTCCCAGGAATTTGGCCTCTTCTACTCCCTTGATGGGATTACCATCTAAAGAAGGTCCGGATCCTTGTGTGGTTTGTATTTACGACAAAAGTGAAAACAATTTGTTTTAGATTTTGAAGTCCACAAGTAGAACCAGGGGAAGGAACCGTTATATAACCCCGCTGCGGATAGTGGTGAGACTCATCCATGGCAACAAATGATAATGACATAATATTCCACTTTTATAACGCTATTCCAGGATGAATGTCTTGCTCAAAGCGCTATTATTATTACCCCGGATAACCCAAGCTGCCAGTGAGGCGCTAGAAGGTTAATAGTAACTATACCACTGTATAACTTGCCTAAGGTGAGACCAGATGTGTCACATGTGCTTCCTTGTGGGGCAGGACTGACGTCCTAGAAACTCTCAGGAGTCAAGCTGCCAAACCTAGGACTCTCCGCGCTCAGCTGAACTTCAACTGACTTGTGACCTGAGCTCTATGCACAGGGTTCAACAAGCTTCAGCTGGAACTGCTGACAGTGGTGAGACTCATCCATCCAGCTTCAGCTGGAACTGCTGACAGTGGTGAGACTCATCCATCAAGCTTCAGCTGGAACTGCTGACAGTGGTGAGACTCATCCATCCAGCTTCAGCTGGAGCTGCTGACAGTGGTAAGACTCATCCATCCAGCTTCAGCTGGAACTGCTGACAGTGGTGAGACTCATCCATCAAGCTTCAGCTGGAACTGCTGACAGTGGTGAGACTCATCCATCAAGCTTCAGCTGGAACTGCTGACAGTGGTGAGACTCGTCCATCCAGCTTCAGCTGGAACTGCTGACAGTGGTTAGACTCATCCATCCAGCTTCAGCTGGAACTGCTGACAGTGGTGAGACTCGTCCATCCAGCTTCAGCTGGAACTGCTGACAGTGGTGAGACTCGTCCATCCAGCTTCAGCTGGAACTGCTGACAGTGGTTAGACTCGTCCATCCAGCTTCAGCTGGAACTGCTGACAGTGGTGAGACTCATCCATCCAGCTTCAGCTGGAACTGCTGACAGTGGTTAGACTCGTCCATCCAGCTTCAGCTGGAACTGCTGCCAGTGGTCAGACTCATCCATCCATCCAGCTTCAGCTGGAACTGCTGACAGTGGTTAGACTCGTCCATCCAGCTTCAGCTGGAACTGCTGACAGTGGTGAGACTCGTCCATCCAGCTTCAGCTGGAACTGCTGACAGTGGTGAGACTCGTCCATCCAGCTTCAGCTGGAACTGCTGACAGTGGTTAGACTCGTCCATCCAGCTTCAGCTGGAACTGCTGACAGTGGTGAGACTCATCCATCCAGCTTCAGCTGGAACTGCTGACAGTGGTGAGACTCATCCATCCAGCTTCAGCTGGAGCTGCAGCCATCCAGCTGGTGAGACTGCTCAAGCTTCAGCTGGAACTGCTGACAGTGGTTAGACTCATCCATCCAGCTTCAGCTGGAACTGCTGACAGTGGTTAGACTCATCCATCCAGCTTCAGCTGGAACTGCTGAGTGGTGGACTCATCCATCCAGCTTCAGCTGGAACTGCCATCCAGCTTCAGCAGTGGTGAGACTCGTCCATCCAGCTTCAGCTGGAACTGCTGACAGTGGTGAGACTCGTCCATCCAGCTTCAGCTGGAACTGCCATGAAGCTTCAGTGGAATTAGCTGACTCGACTCATCCATCAAGCTTCAGCTGGAACTGCTGACAGTGGTGAGACTCATCCATCCAGCTTCAGCTGGAACTGGTCAGACTCATCCATCCAGCTTCAGCTGGAACTGCCGACAGTGGTGAGACTCATCCATCCAGCTTCAGCTGGAGCTGCTGACAGTGGTGAGACTCATCCATCCAGCTTCAGCTGGAGCTGCTGCCAGTGGTGAGACTCATCCATCCAGCTTCAGCTGGAGCTGCTGACAGTGGTGAGACTCATCCATCCAGCTTCAGCTGGAACTGCTGACAGTGGTTAGACTCATCCAGAGCTTCATCCATCCAGCTTCAGCTGGAGCTGCTGACAGTGGTGAGACTCATCCATCCAGCTTCAGCTGGAACTGCTGACAGTGGTGTCCATCCAGCTTCAGACTCATCCATCCAGCTTCAGCTGGAACTGCTGACAGTGGTGAGACTCGTCCATCCAGCTTCAGCTGGAGCTGCTGACAGTGGTGAGACTCATCCATCCAGCTTCAGCTGGAGCTGCTGACAGTGGTGAGACTCATCCATCCAGCTTCAGCTGGAGCTGCTGCCAGTGGTGAGACTCATCCATCCAGCTTCAGCTGGAACTGCTGACAGTGGTGAGACTCATCCATCCAGCTTCAGCTGGAGCTGCTGACAGTGGTGAGACTCATCCATCCAGCTTCAGCTGGAACTGATGACAGTGGTGAGACTCATCCATCGGAAAACGCTTCCGCTGGAGCTGCTGATAAACGACATATAGATTACCACGAGAGGTGATGAACGCCCAATTCAGTCCTCAGAATGTTTCCAACTATATCCCCCTACACTGGCTTACAACGTGTGGTGCGCTGTAGTGGACACCGTGGGGATGACGACTAAACCCTTTCAGTTACGTATACTGGATAATAGCGGTTTGGTTGTTGTGCCTTTGGCTCACATGCAACTTATAAGCATGGAATGTATTATACTTGATACGTGCTATAACTGCTGGGTGCGGAGAACCTCCCCTCCTGTCTTCGAATTCATGACATAACACGCACCTGACGGTGTGTAACAATAAGGCATAAACGTGTACCTATTTCCTTTGACGGTAAATCAATATTTTGTCTTGAGGATTTATCCTTCAATCTAATAATTTGAATTTGTTTCCAGGCATATAAGACTATTTTAGTGACCACGTTTGCCAAGGACAAGCACTTTCATTGTTCACGAACAGGGAGCTTCTAACTCTTTCTACCAATATTCCAAAGAGCGTCATAAGACTCTTGCTCAACAAATGCTAGATCAAGGTTACCCAATTCAAGGTCCCAAGACTTTCAAAGGCGTTTATGGTAGACATGCGGTGGGTATTTCGAAATTTGACGCCATAGTGACAAACTGATGTCGGATAAAATTCCTCAGTTTGACAATGACCACAGGTTCTGCTGTTGTTTCCAGGTGATCAGCTGACGGATGCCTGGACCTTGTGTTTCTGACGGGTGCCTCCAGTGGGGCAGGATACGCAAACACCTGGTGTCATCACTGTCTGAGAGTGATTCATAAACACGTTATCGCGATACAGGCGGCATTGTGGGATCGACTCTGCATTTAGCGTACATTTCTTCTGCATATGAAAATGGTTTGGTCACTATTTGTTCTTACTTGATGTCCTCGAACATACTCCACATTACAAGATTTCCCAGTCTTCACATGGGATATGTTACAGGGAATGTGTGAAACCAGAGATTTCACATAATCCCTAAAAGAGTCAGTGATTTCGTGTAATCGCTGTGAACCCCAGGGATTTCATATGTATTCCCTAAAATTTCAAGGGATTTAATGAACTTTCTGATTTTCACGGTGTTCCATTACACACATTCCCTGTTAGGATACCAGTGAATGTGTGAAATTAATGTTTGTAGCTTAAAACGTTACTGTTGAGTCTCATTTCATCCCTCAGTCCTCTATAGGAGTTGAAAACTGAAAATATGCCGATGACACTTTTGGCTAATTACTACCTTGTATTTATTGTGTATATAAAACCTTTGTCGTCACTATATGGCTGAAATATTGCCGAGGTGACGATAAATTTTAACTCACACACACACTCATAATGGACAGGTATTTTGGCCCAAGGTGTAACCAACAGATTAAATTAATTACTGTTAAGGTACATGTGGGGTGTGCATCATGCAGCTGACTTGCCAGTGTGACAGCTGTTCTTGTGTGTGTGATTTTCATTCATTCCTTTTCGGTGTGAGTTACGATTTATACCCTATAACCCCCAGTTGCCATATAGCATAAAAGACTATTTTACACGCAACAGCATGCTGTAGGAGATGCAGTTCTCGAGTGACTTTTTTTAGACTGGTTTCTATGTTAAAATGCGTCGAATGATTTTACCACACAGTAGACAGTATCCCAGTATTCACCACAGGAACTAGATGGCGCTGTTAGCGACGTAAACATAATAGGAAGTCAATTTCGCAAGCAATTTAGAAGTGTTGCAAACTATTTGACATTATGACATAGCTTTGGAGAAGGTTGGTATTCCGTAATATAATGTCGGATTTTGTATATGCATTGGTGTTGTATAAGGTAATCGGAAATAGCCAATTGGTGTTCTGGATGTTCATGGATCGGTCAGGACCTGTCGGTAGATCATATCCAGGAGTCTAAATGTTCAGTTCAGACTGAAGAAAAACGTGAATCCGCAGAGATCGACCAAGGCATTGAACGTATTGTTTTGCACACGTGACTTATTTCTCACAGACTTAACAGTATTGCTGTTGATGCGAGTATTTGTTCGTTGCAACGGTCTGCACTTGATGTAACTTGTAAGTTAAACCTGTTTGCAGGAAGGCCAGGGTCATTGATACCTGAGATACAGAAAATATGGCAACATGTAAATATTGGTCCACTGATGCTAGGTTCTGATATGCCGCCCATCAACATGGCAGGTTGTCAAGAAAAGGTGTCACATGTACAAACTTGACCACATGGCTGCAGCATCGACTTGTACTAGTTGTAGTCTCGGAGTTTCCATATTGTACCTGAGTGGGGTATCCATGTTTAACTGGGGCATGGCATCTTGTTTAGTTGGCACTATAGACACGTAATAGAACTGACACTAGAGTGCACTTTACCGGTTGCAGTCCTCGCTGCATGCTGCGAGGCAATTACCGTGCTGTCTCGCTATCGTCGGGTATCGTTGTAATTCGTTGGTTTCACATTAATTTTGCGACTCGCAGAGCGTGTAAAAATATCCAATGGCCAACCTCTGGTTTGGTCGTATGCTTTACCGAGTGTAAACACACTCGAAAGAAAACAAAAATCAAAACAAATATATAGTTTTATGTCAAATGCAACTGATCCAAATTGATTTATGAAACAGGCCATTATTAATGTATTTATTAGTTATATAAATTGCTTAATTTATGTTCACAAGCTCTTGTATATAGTCATCTCACCACCACTGTTCTTCCCGCCCATCCCCTTCTCACAACTAAAACAACCCCACATCTCTGATGGATTTGCAACCAAAATGGGACATCATTTATTGAAAAGCATAGGTAAATGCATCCTTGATAATCTCCAGGGTATACGTTCCGATAAATCTCCACTATACCCTGGATGCATCTACGGCTCGAGCCGATGATTTTATTACCTTCCTTGGTTGGCTTTTATCCAATCAGGTGTCTACACTGGGAAGTTGAGCGTACCAATCACAACTCACTTTCGCTTTTTAAATTATCTAACCGATTAAACTTGGCAACATAATAATATATCGTTGCAGAGGTCCCATCAGTAAGCATACGACCAAACTGGAAAATGGCCAGTGGATATTTTTCACACGCTCTGCACAGTTCAAACCAGTTGATTTATGAATGTTAATCATTTGGTTTCTAGGAATTCTCTTGAAAAAGGAAAACAAAATGGATAAGAAGGATCCATATGATGCGAAGACAGAGAAAGATGAAACTGAAGAAGATGAAAACCAGGCTTTAACCTCTGACCTTGGTGATCGCCAGGCTGGAAAAGATTCCACAGAAGCTGAAAATGACTTGACCAAGACAGAAGAAAATGCATTGAACAAGATGCGTCGCCAGCGGTCAGAGTACTCGACCAATGGAGATAAGGCAGAGGAAGAAGCAGCTCATATGGTAGGTTGTGGGGATCATGCTGCACAGATCATAGGTTTAAATGCTGAGGCTTTCCTATTATCAATAATCATTATAATACCACTTATACTAAACATGCTATTGCTCTCTTCAAAACACAAGATGTTGTTATCCATAAAATCGTATGCTTTATTTTAAACGTAATCAACTAAGAATAAAAGTTCATGTTTATTTACTTTTGAAAGTGACTGACATGGTGTAACTGAAGCAGATTTCATATTTAGGGTTTTGCTTTCTATCATATAAATTCAGTTTATGAATTCAGTGTTATACATCATATGTCATGTTATAATAACTGTTCCCTGTAGTTTGAGCAGATGCATTATGTTCATGGATTTGGTGTTGATTTGTCAGTTACTCATATTGGAATGTTACTTGTCTCGGACAGTTGTAGAAGAGAGTTCTTCTTTCGTTACTGTCATATGGTCATTGGTCCACCATTTGTTCTTTGTACAGCGAAAGCTTGTCAGTCCTGACTTCTGGTTTGGAATGTTTATGTTTACACAGGATGGTGCTCTGAAACAGTTTTTTTAATTCACTGGGATTGATGGTGCTGTGTGGAGTAGTGGGTGTTTTCATGTTTTTGGTACTTACCTATTTTCAACCATATCCACCATGTTAACATCACTAGAACTTTTCACACATATTTGTTACTTTGTACAGTGTTATAGCACATCTCAACTATAAATCTATGTGAGTGTTTAAGCAGAAAGTCAGTTACTGATCTGACTGTTTCCACCTGACCTTGACATTGGCTCATGGACTTGAGCGCCCTGAACCCTGATTGACCTGATGGATGCAAGGTTTTCCAAACACTTTGAAACGTGGGAGTCGTTGTGACTTATGCTTCCAGTAAATGTATTTTGGAGTCTATTTTAAATTTGTAAGTCCTGAAAATATTTTGTCAGTAGAATATTTCCATCATTAAATCTATATAGAGCAAAAGCTTCATGTGTTGTGGTTACTTATATTGACTGATGATTCATGAATTTATTCATACTGGTAATATGGTTTTATGACATAGTAGATCTAGTGTATTGTGTTGCTGATTGTAGTTTACAGTCAGAAAACTTGAACAGTTGTTTTTGTCTTGTGGAGTTTCTTGGATTCAAGGTACGCTTTGAAAAAATATGGTGCCTACTATGACTCGTGTGAAACTATTTAGATTTTTTTTAATAAAATAGTTGAGTGAAATTTATGGAACTTACTCGTCATGTAAAGCCAGTGGATGTCAGCCTTGTCCCCCACGTGGGATCCAGGCATGAGTAAATGTTGTCTGTATACATAGTTACCACTGGTCACCGATGATGATTTGTCTCTGATTTCTGAAATCATGGTAATGTTGTTCTTTTCACATTTTGTTTTGTGCACAGTGAAACTATTTTTCAGTTTGTTCCGTGCATAAACACTGACCTACATAAGTACGGTAGTAGTGCGATGATCTGGGGAGCGAGGCCCAGGGTTTGTCTCTTTGTTTGAAGACTGATGAGAATGTTACATTTTGACGATCAAATTACAATTACATGTCAAGTTGTGTAAAGTTTTGATTCACTTTGTGAAGTTAGTTATTCTATATCAGTGAGTATCATTCATCATTCTGTTCATGTGTGGATTGCTATTATGATTATGTTGTTAGCTGCGTGTGTGTCTGAGCGCCCTGTCTCCAACATTCAACATCAGGGCTATGACAAGGACCATTCCTAGATTATTTCCATCACTGTTAATGAATGTTACGTATCAACTGAGTTGTCGACCAAGATGTACTGCTAATGACTTGGCTATGTTGATCTGAAATCAGCTGAAGGACCAGCCAGGGAAAGGAAACTCACAGTTTGATTAGGATGAGCTTTCATGGTTACAGATGGGTTCATTGTCAACAACAGAAACTTTCTTTATTGCTATCCAAAATGTCCTCAACTTATTTTTCAATGGCACTGTTAATGGCATTGTATCTTGCAATTCCACTGCTTTGACATGGTCCCCACTAATGATAGTATGCCTGTTACTCTGTATCTATGATGACTGTTGTTGTCAGTCACTCTGGTTTTTTTTGGTAAGAATGTTGAGTTATAGCTGTTTGAACTCATCACATGAGTGTTGGTCATCCAGGGACACAGTAACCATGGTAACACAGTCGGTGGCTTTGCAATGTTGTCCCCCTCTGACCACTGGAGATACAGGGCGAATCCAACATCAAGCGACCATCTTGTGGTAAACCATCCTACTGAACATTCTAGATTACACCAACATATTCACTTTCTCTATTCACATCACTGTAACTGTGATGCAGTATCACTGTACAGGGGCGTATCTGAGCCAGTTATTATGTGTAGGCAAAAAGTTTAGAATGCAATTATTATACGTACATAACCATGCTTTCAGCATGTTGAAATAAATTCACCTGAAAGATTTTTCTTTCAAATTTATCATTTCCTTTATTTAATATTTGTTTTACAAAATTATATGTAGGCAATTGCCTTTTTACCTATATGGCAGCTACGCCCCTGCTGTAACCATTACATGTATTGTATAAACATCTTGTCTGAAAGCTTCAGTGTCTACAGCACCCTGTGTTTGACCCATTGTATCAGCAACAAATATAGGGGAACAATGTAAATATTCATAAGATACTGTAGAGATCAATTTCTGTAATATTTTTGTCATTTTTTCAATTTAAGAGCAATGTTTGTAACGGTGTGACCTTGACCGTGTGTGTTTCTGTGTGACCTAGGATGCAGCTCCTGCTGTTACTCGGTACTCTAACGACCGGTCTCGTCAGTACCTCAAGGTAATGGAACTGACAGCAATAGACTTTTGCTTCTGTGTTCTTCTTCTTTATGTACATGTATTTGGTTTATTTTGTAAAGGATAACGATTGGGTGCCCGTTTTTAAATTTGACATAAGGAGAGAAAGAGGGGAATGTTTGTTTTACACATAGGTTAGTTCCAACATGGAAGCTACTATAAGTATGGTATACCATATGTCAGGCATTTATCCAGGATTCCAGACCAAGTTGTCATACTCCAAAATTTATAGAATTGTTTTTCATTCATGAGAGATATATTTTAACAGTGCTTTCGGTACAACAGTGTACAACTAATTGTTAGTGGTGGAGATAGTTCAGTTTGTAGGATTCTCTCTGAATGGGGTACTAGTTACTCTCATGGCTGAAACTATGAATACACATTTCCTTTTTGGTCAGTTGTAACATATATTACATATGGGATTACACTGTCTCAGTAAAGTTTGTGTTTCTAGGACTGTTTGGGTTGACTCTCATTCATTATTGCTTTATCTATATAGATTGATTCATGTTGTATATCCTTGTGTTTACCTGGACAAGTGGGCGTTTTCTTGTTCTGGATCATTTCTGTCAGCAAACTAGAAGTGTTGTAAAAGTCAGTACTCCTGATGAGTTCACTAGGTTACGCTGATTATTTGTTGCTGGTAGTAGTTATAGCAATATACCAACACAATGGGGCTAATTTTAATCAACATCTCACCAGCACAAATGGTGTCAAAGTAAAAAATTCTTCAAAATTGTTTTAATGACTTTAAATCTGCTTGTGTTTCTTTTGGCAGCTTGGGATTGTTTAGACATGTTCCTTCAGACCATTGAAATACTGGAAATACCAACACCAATATGAGACAGACACTTGTAATTCAATTAGAGAAAGATATTTGACAAATTTGATAAGAACTGTGAAAGTTGACACTAACAAGTAAATGTACTAGACCTTGTATGTGTATTGGGTGGTGTGAGTAAGGGGTTGGTGGTAGGTAAGTTGGTGGTTGGTAAATATTAGATATAGTGTTTCTTAGGTGTTAGTTTATTACACACGAGAAGAGGACACATTGGAGACAGTTACAATGGTTTAAGAAGTTCTATGGAAAATATCCACCTCAATCAGTCACGAACAAATTTAATAGTTCAATTTTCCTTTTGTGAAAACAATGCTGAGGAAATGTGCCATGACCTTCCCAAAAGGTGGGATTTGTTTGACAATAAAGGTTAATAAATGATCTCTTTGTGACTGAGTGGCAGTTTTTCCTTCTGAATCCCCCCAGCCTTGATGGCTGTGTGGATGAATCCCTTTAATCTATTACTTACTTTGTTCTGGCCTCGATTTATATAAAATGTCTAAATTTAATGGTTACCACATCAATTTCAGGAGCTGCCTGCAAGTGCTGCCAACGGGGACCCGGTATTAACTGTTTGCATGCTGTTGACTGTGACATACATGTACTCTGCTTGTATCCTCACTTAGTTAATATGCTGGTCATGTGCTTCACCTCACTCTCTCTGTCGTCATGGACGACTCTCGGAGGAAGCTTGTTTAGCAGCCCAATAACCTTGACTTGCCACCCTCCATTCATTAAAGAACTTATAGTGGTATTTAGATATAGGGGCAGGTGTTCTGCAGGGTTAAGTGATCATGTGAAAAAGATCAGTTATAGGTCCAATTGTATAGTCCAAATACAGTGAGTAAGTGAGTTTAGTTTTACGCTGCACTCAGCAATATTACAGCTATAAGGTGGTGGCCTGTAATTAATCAAGTCTGGACCAGAAAATACAGTGATCATTAGCTTAAGCATGTCTACGCAATTGGGAACCGATGACATGTGTCAACCAAGTCAGCTAGCCTGTCCACCTGATCACATTAGTTGTCTCTAAGACAAGCATGGGTTCAATTCTGAAGATCAGTTCTAACCCAGATCTTCATGGGTAGTCCAAATGGACATGTAGATGAACAGCTCCAAACAATGGCTGGCAGTGTGTTCTCTATGCGTGTTTGGCACTTCTTCCTTATATACAAATACAAACTAGACATCCTCTTTCAAAATTGAAGTTCATGAAAATGATCATTGTGGGCATAGCATTAATTTCATTATGTTGATTACGTTAGTGAACATTGAAGCAAGCACAAACTTAACATTTATACACTACTCATCATGCTATTCAACTCCAGGAGAATCTTTTGTCCAGATTCTTTGTTATTCACTTTCTTTTTGTAAAACATTTACCATTCTCTATCTCTTCCAATTCTCTCTGGTCATTCTAATGTTAGACCCACACACATTTATACACCATCTACTCTGTTTTCATTAACTTACTAACATGTGGTTGGATGTTTGGGTAAACAAGTGACTTATCAGCAATGCACCAGCCTCATCTCATCACATGGTATATACATGTATACGTCTAGAACTAGTAGAAGTAGGTTTACAAGGCATCTGTAAAATTTGATTGAGCAAGAATGTTACAAGGGTGCTGAAGAAATAGTGTACTATTTGTTTGATTAAAGTATGTGTCATGGAACTATGATAAATTGTATGAATTTGTATGGCTGATCAACTTCTTTCTTATACACATGAGCATTAATCAAGCACCACCCACCAGTATTGACAAGAAAACTCTACACATTGTGTGTGCTTTGAGAAATAAATTCAGCTTATTAAAATAGTAACTTTAACATATTTTCCTCTGATGAGAACAAAGAGAAAACTGAAGTTGAAATATGGTACAATTTCCTTGCAGTCTGGGAGGAATACACAAGACATGAATATCAACAATGGCAGAAAGTGTTGTCACTTTGTCTATTGCCATCAATCTGATTGTCATACAGTTCTGAAATAATGATGTTTGTGATTGCATGAAGCACCACTGGTGACCATATCCGTATCACCCACCCCTCACACTGTGTTAATTCCTGCAAAGTTCAAACAGGGTTATCTTGGGTGTTTTTGTGGACTGAATGTTTTGATGGTGTTCTGCAAACAGGCGATGATGGCTCTCGAGAACAGTGAGACCTAGCATTGTCGTCCATGAATATTGGATGACTAGAAAGTGGTGGCAGTCATATTGAATGCAGTTCCACATCATCACTTACCACACGACAAGGTTCAGCTACATGCAGGATCTCCTGCAGATATGTATTGTTATGACGTCTCCATGTGCCAGCCATGATGTGTGGAAGATATCGGCTTTCATCAGGTTTATCAGGCCTTCGCCATATGATGAAGCAGGGTTTCACCTCAACTCACAAACATGGGAGTCCTGGGGACCTCCACTTATTAGTGTTAGGGATGAAATGATGCATGTAACTGCTCTGAAATCAGTTCAGTGCAGATACTGCAATAATGAAATCTATACCCCAAGGTGCTTTGAGCATGCATGTGTTGTGAACATGCATAGCTTTTGACACAATGTGTCCAGCACATGTGTATTCTAGTATTCTTGTGTGCTTGGGTATTTTCACCTATCTGGGCCACAATTTATTAAATTGCCTTTGGATTCAGCAGGTGCTTAATTAACGATCATGTGTATATTTTGTTTACATTGTGTACCTAGTATATGTGATACAGGAATTTGTTTCATAATTTGGGATCAATTTGTAATTCTTGTTTTGACTTGTAATGGTTAAGTACCGGTATTTGTTTTACATCATGTAACATGTGTTATATTTGGGATTACATCTTCTCAGTATAGTACAGATTCTAGTACCTTTGTTATGTGAGTCCCATCCTGGATCATACAGTTTATGAAATTGTCAAAGTAATAATTGATTCGTGTTTCAGTCCGTTGATTTGTTTAACATTTGTCAGTCTGTGAAAGGAACAAAGAGTTACCTCCCTTAGATAGATAGTCCTTCAATGGTTCCCCCCCTTCAACCTGGGGATGTCAGTGTTGCATGTGTTGAGATGAAGTGCAGATAGTTGATGGTGTAGTGTTCCACAGTGTGCACCCTCTGAACCGTGTTGACACCAGTGTTGTGGGGCCATTTTGTTGTGAACCTAACTGGTTACTAAGAGATATCAAATGATGTACAATACCTGCATTCACAGTTACTGTTGTCCTGTTATAGAAGTAGGAGAAACACACCCGCGAGTTTAAATCTGTAGACTAGAAATATAATCTGAAACAACATTATTAACAGTTTTATGTTTCAAACACATTTTCCACGAGGCTTATGAAACAGATGTAAATATCTCTTGCCGGTGTAATCTATTGTTGAAGTATTAGGTCCTGAGAAGCATATTTGTATTTCACACAAGGCTACAGGTATGTTAGCACCTAGAACATTAGGCTATTTGCCTGATTTATCTTCATTCCACACATTTGTTTATGTAGACTGTGTTCAAATGCAAGTTGCCTGACCGGGTACATTTCTACAGAATCACTGTGGTTGGCCCGAGGGACTTCCTATTAACTATCCCTTGGACACAGGTTATTCCAGGAAACATAAATCATATACGGTTTATGAATGACTGTAAAGATGCACTGTTTTTACCTTCCTACTGATTCTGTCTGTGCATGTAGAACTGATTGGATTAACTCTGTGTCCGCACGTACTGAGGGCACACCAAGATGTGTGTAGTGAATGAGGCATGGCATGGTCCCCCACTCTATACCACTCCAGCAGGACTAGTTTCAACTTCCAGCGTGGATCGTGCTTCTTAATGCAGGATTGTTTGGAGTTTTTGTTAATCCACAGCTGAAAGGTTACCCATGTGTAACATTGCAAGAATAGTGCTGTAGTCCGACTGTAATGCTGTAATGTAGAGGGACTCTAGAAGGCAGATGTGATTTGTTATTTTACGTATCAGAAAAGATGAAAGCTGTGGTGATCAAAGAATAGATAAAACTTTGCAATTAATATTTTTGTCCTGATCTTTTCATGATCTTGCATATCAGCAACAGTCTAATTGTTGCTGAAAGTTTGTTGGATGTGCTGCTACTTCTTGGCACATGCGATGGAAGATAGTTTAGTCTCTGTTGTATCCCACTTCAAGTTACATGTGCCCAGCTGCAGTGGTGCTAAGAGTGGCCACACCCCTCACTCACTCACCCTGGACAAATAGGAGATATCTTCACCATCACTGAATGAAGTTTCTGTGTTGCAGCTGTCCCCAGATGCTGCTGACCCTGACAATGTTGACGGCGACATGGCTACAACCACGTTCATCCGGCAGCCCTGGCAGCCTCCATTAGACACCAAGCCCAGACCGGCGGCTGGTGCGTCCATAGGTAGGAGGGTGGGGAGGTGGCCTAGAGGTTGGAGTGTTAGCTTGTCAAGCCAAAGGCAAGGGTTTGATTCTTCCTATACATACTATATTTAAAGTCCACTACATACATTTGATGCGATGTTGCTGGAGTACTGCTGAAACCGGTGCTCAGCAACTCCCAGGCTACGACACAGGCTACGACACAGGCTTCTGGTCCAGACAGTGGTTTGGCACTGAGGAGTGCTGTTTCCCAGATAGTCTATTACTTGCTCACTGGGATACTACTCTGCCTACCTGTACACCAGTGTTCTGCCATGCAGTGTACAACTGAAGTTTGATTGGTTGACTGGATTTTATTGGATGAAACTAAGTAGAACACCGTGATGACTGATTTGGGCTGTTCAATGTTGATTCTGAAATACATGAATGTTTTTATTGTACAGAAGATACTCCCACCTACCGTGCACCTGCCGAGCTGGGTGACATTGAGCTGCATGACATGGAGCGGACCGGGCCCCCACCAGAGGAGGAAGTGTAAGTTGTACAGTGGGAATTAGGCCATGCCAAATTCTCATGTTGGCTCAGCCGCCAATGTAAGCCTGTAAAGCCTGTCAGATTGTAGCAATATTTAAATGGGTCAAGTCATATCTGTGTGATGGGTTAAACCATATCTGTGTGATGGGTTAAACCATATCTGAACAATGGGTGAAACCATATCTGGGTAATGGGTTAAACCATATCTGTGTGATGGGTTAAACCATATCTGTGTGATGGGTCAAACCATATCTGTGTGATGGGTCAAACCATATCTGTGTAATGGGTTAAACCATATCTGTGTCATGGGTTAAACCATATCTGTGTGATTGGTTAAACCATATCTGTGTGATGGGTTAAACCATATCTGAATCATGGGATAAACCATATCTGCGCGATGGGTTAAACCATATCTGTGCAATGGGTTAATCCATATCTGTGTGATGGGTTAATCCATATCTGTATGATGGGTTAAACCATATCTGTGTGATGAGTTAAACCATATCTGTGTGATGGGTTAAATCATATCTGTGTGATGAGTTAAACCATATCTGAATCATGGGTTAAACCATATCAGTGTGATTCGTTAAACCATATCTGTATGATGGGTTAAACCATATCTGTGTGATGGGTTAAAGCATTTCTGAATCATCAGTGTGATGGGTTAAACCATATCTGTGTGATGGGTTAAGCCATATCTGTGTGATGGGTTAATCCATATCTGTATGATGGGTTAAACCATATCTGTATGGTGGGTTAAACCATATCTGCACGATGCGTTAAACCATATCTGTGCAATGGGTTAAACCATATCTACGCGATGGGTTAAACCATATCTGTGCAATGGGTTAATCCATATCTGTGTGATGGGTTAATCCATAACTGTATGATGGGTTAAACCATATCTGTGTGATGGGTTAAACCATATCTGTGTGATGGGTTAAATCATATCTGTGTGATGGGTTAAACCATATCTGTATCATGGGTTAAACCATATCTGTGTGATGGGTTAAACCATATCTGTATGATGGGTTAAACCATATCTGTGTGATGGGTTACACCATATCTGTATGATGGGTTAAACCATATCTGTGTGATGAGTTAAACCATATCTGTGTGATGGGTTAAACCATATATGTATAATGGGTTAAACCATATCTGTGTGATGGGTTAAACCATATCTGAATCATGGGTTAAACCATATCTGTGTGATGAGTTAAACCATATCAGTGTGATGGGTTAAACCATATCTGTATAATGGGTTAAACCATATCTGTGTGATGGGTTAATCCTTATCTGTATGATGGGTTAAGCCATATCAGTGTGATGGTTTAAACCATGCCTGTGTAATGCGTTAAACCATATCTGTGTAAGTGTACTAGACTGCTGGTTGATGCGTTAAATACATATATTCCTGTAGTTTCCATGTTACAGAGTGGAGTGTGAATCTACTTGATTGCTGGTTGATACATTCAATATGTTCAACATCACCCATTGTTTCTGTGTTCCAGAGAGGCGTATGAGTGTACTGGACTATGCTGGTTTAACTGCGTGGGCACCCTGATCGTCCGCTTCTACCAACAGCTGTGCACTGCTCACTCCACATACTCCCGCACCAAGAGGATTCTGGGAATTATTGCACTGATCTCCATTGCATGTCTGGTTCTATTTATTGGCGTATTCTCCTCCAGCTTTGAATACGTTAATTATTACAATGTAAGTGGTAGTGTCAATATATGTATCTCCACTGAAAAAATAATTGTTGTGTATCTTGTTTGTGCCTTAACATAAAGCTAAACATATATAAGCAGGGCAACAGACAATGTGCAGAACTGTGTCTCTTGGCTGCCATCACCATCTGCTGCTCAGATTTCTATGCATTATCCTTGACGTGTCAGACCAGTGTCTGTGCGTTTCAGTAAAGTAGTAAACATCTTTGACTCACCAGATTGAGTGACCAATGTCATGTTGGACATTAGGTCACTTAGTTTCAGTTAAAGATTATTATTATTTGAAGATTGTTGACATTTCTCTCTTTTGATGTCCTTTCATATTATTGGTTTCCAAACTGAACTCTTCAACATTTATGATTACTTGTGTACCTGTGACTGCTTCTTATGCTTCGTTTATGCGAATTACAGATGTTTTTGAGCTTTGTACAATAACTGCTATTTAGTGAACAAAAACCTCTGTACAAGAATGTGTTCAGTTCAGTTAAACAGTGTTATACGAGGTTCAACATGTCATGGACCCAGAATATGATTCCCCACAAGAGAGCTAAGTGTGAAGTTGATTTCTGGTGTGACTGGAATATTGCTTCAAGCAGCAGTGCACACTACTCACTTTCTTGCTAGTCTTAAATAAAGTGTAACCTAGCAACCATTCATCATTGAACACGCAGATCGCATTGCGGAAGAGTCGTCTGACGGGAATTGTTGACCGGAACAGGGTGCTGTATCCAGGGTGCTACGTCCTGGGCCCTGATGTTGACCTCATGTACTTCAGCAGCACAGCTCACACCATCTCCGCCACAGTGTCGGTCTTCACAGAGGACAAGATGGTCATTGATGTTGAAGTTTCACTTCAGTACTTCCTCAGGTAGACAGCTTAGTTGTGTCGTGGTTCATACACTGGGGTGTTGTCTGCTGGCATGTCACCAAGTTGTGATGTGCGTCCTACCTTGTTAAAACTTGGGGTGGGGATGAGGGGTAGATCTAACACTAGTTGACTGTGGGTGGGGATGAGGGGTAGATGTAACACTAGTTGACTGTGGGTGGATGAGGGGGATAGATGTATCACTAGTTGACTGTGGGTGGGGATTGGAGGTAGATGTAACACTAGTTGACTGTTGGTGGGGATGAGGGGTAGATGTAACACTAGTTGACTGTGGGTGGGAATGAGGGGTAGATGTATCACTAGTTGACTCTGGGTGGGGATGAGGGGTAGATCTAACACTAGTTGACTGGTGGTGGGGATGAGGGGTAGATGTAACACTAGTTTACTGTTGGTGGGGATGAGGGGTAGATGTAACACTAGTTTACTGTTGGTGGGGATGAGGGGTAGATCTAACACTAGTTTACTGTGGATGGGGATGAGGGGTAGATGTAACACTAGTTTACTGTTGGTGGGGATGAGGGGTAGATCTAACACTAGTTTACTGTGGATGGGGATGAGGGGTAGATGTAACACTAGTTTACTGTTGGTGGGGATGAGGGGTAGATCTAACACTAGTTTACTGTTGGTGGGGATGAGGGGTAGATCTAAAACTAGTTTACTGTTGGTGGGGATGAGGGGTAGATCAAACACTAGTTGACTGTTGGTGGGGATGAGGGGTAGATCTAACACTAGTTTACTGTTGGTGGGGATGAGGGGTAGATCTAACACTAGTTTACTGTTGGTGGGGATGAGGGGTAGATGTAACACTAGTTTACTGTGGGTGGGGATGAGGGGTAGATGTAACACTAGTTGACTGTGGGTGGGGATGGGGATAGAGGGTGGAGATGGGGTAGATCTAACACTAGTTTACTGTTGGTGGGGATGAGGGTAGATGTAACACTAGTTGACTCTGGGTGGGGATGAGGGGTAGATCTAACACTAGTTGACTGTGTGGTGGGATGAGGGGTAATGTAACACTAGTTGACTGTGGGTGGAGATGAATGGTAGATGTAACACTAGTTGACTGGTTGGAGATGAGGGATAGATGTAACACTAGTTGACTGTGGGTGGAGATGAGGGGTGGATGTAACACTAGTTGACTCTGGTGGGGATAAGGGGTAGATGTATCACTAGTTGACTCTGATGGAGACGAGGGCTAGATGTAACACTAGTTTACTGTTGGTGGGGATGAGGGGTAGATCTAACACTAGTTTACTGTGGATGGGGATGAGGGGTAGATGTAACACTAGTTTACTGTTGGTGGGGATGAGGGGTAGATCTAACACTAGTTTACTGTGGATGGGGATGAGGGGTAGATGTAACACTAGTTTACTGTTGGTGGGGATGAGGGGTAGATCTAACACTAGTTGACTCTGGGTGGGGATGAGGGGTAGATCTAAAACTAGTTTACTGTTGGTGGGGATGAGGGGTAGATCAAACACTAGTTGACTGTTGGTGGGGATGAGGGGTAGATCTAACACTAGTTTACTGTTGGTGGGGATGAGGGGTAGATCTAACACTAGTTTACTGTTGGTGGGGATGAGGGGTAGATGTAACACTAGTTTACTGTGGGTGGGGATGAGGGGTAGATGTAACACTAGTTGACTGTGGGTGGGGATGAGGGGTAGATCTAACACTAGTTTACTGTTGGTGGGGATGAGGGGTAGATGTAACACTAGTTGACTCTGGGTGGGGATGAGGGGTAGATCTAACATTAGTTTACTGTTGGTGGGGATGAGGGGTAGATGTAACACTAGTTTACTGTTGGTGGGGATGAGGGGTAGATGTAACACTAGTTGACTGTTGGTGGGGATGAGGGGTAGATGTAACACTAGTTGACTGTGGGTGGGGATGAGGGGTAGATGTAACACTAGTTGACTGTGGGTGGGGATGAGGGGTAGATGTAACACTAGTTGACTGTGGGTGGAGATGAATGGTAGATGTAACACTAGTTGACTGGTTGGAGATGAGGGGTAGATGTAACACTAGTTGACTGTTGGTGGGGATGAGGGTAGCTTAGATGTAACACTAGTTGACTGTTGGTGGGGATGAGGGGTAGATCTAACACTAGTTGACTCTGGGTTGGGATGAGGGGTAGATCTAACACTAGTTGACTGTGGGTGGGGATGAGGGGTAGATGTAACACTAGTTGACTGTGGGTGGGGATGAGGGGTAGATCTAACACTAGTTTACTGTTGGTGGGGATGAGGGGTAGATGTAACACTAGTTGACTGTGGGTGGGGATGAGGGTAGATGTAACACTAGTTGACTGTTGGTGGGGATGAGGGGTAGATGTAACACTAGTTGACTGTGGGTGGGGATGAGGGTAGATGTAACACTAGTTGACTGTGGGTGGAGATGAGGGGTAGATGTAACACTAGTTGACTCTAGATTGGAAATGAGGGTAGATCTAACACTAGTTGACTGTTGGTGGGGATGAGGGGTAGATGTAACACTAGTTGACTGTTGGTGGGGATGAGGGTAGATGTAACACTAGTTGACTGTTGGTGGGGATGAGGGGTAGATGTAACACTAGTTGACTGTTGGTGGGGATGAGGGGTAGATGTAACACTAGTTGACTGTTGGTGGGGATGAGGGGTAGATGTAACACTAGTTGACTGTGGGTGGGGATGAGGGGTAGATCTAACACTAGTTGACTCTGGGTTGGGATGAGGGGTAGATGTAACACTAGTTGACTGTTGGTGGGGATGAGGGGTAGATGTAACACTAGTTTACTGTTGGTGGGGATGGGGGGTAGATGTAACACTAGTTGACTGGGTGGAGATGAGGGGTAGATGTAACACTAGTTGACTGTGGGTGGAGATGAGGGGTAGATGTAACACTAGTTGACTGGGTGGAGATGAGGGGTAGATGTAACACTTGTTGACTGGTTGGAGATGAGGGGTAGATGTAACACTAGTTGACTGTGGGTGGAGATGAGGGGTAGATGTAACACTAGTTGACTGGTTGGAGATGAGGGGTAAATGTAACACTAGTTGACTGTGGGTGGAGATGAATGGTAGATGTAACACTAGTTGACTGGTTGGAGATGAGGGATAGATGTAACACTAGTTGACTGTGGGTGGAGATGAGGGGTGGATGTAACACTAGTTGACTCTGGTGGGGATAAAGGGTAGATGTATCACTAGTTGACTCTGATGGAGATGAGGGCTAGATGTAACACTAGTTTACTGTGGGTGGAGATGAGGGGTAGATGTAACACTAGTTGACTGTGGGTGGAGATGAGGGGTAGATGTAACACTAGTTGACTGGTTGGAGATGAGGGGTAGATGTAACACTTGTTGACTGGTTGGAGATGGGGGTAGATGTAACACTAGTTGACTGTGGGTGGAGATGAGGGGTAGATGTAACACTAGTTGACTGGTTGGAGATGAGGGGTAAATGTAACACTAGTTGACTGTGGGTGGAGATGAATGGTAGATGTAACACTAGTTGACTGGTTGGAGATGAGGGGTAGATGTAACACTAGTTGACTGTGGGTGGAGATGAGGGGTGGATGTAACACTAGTTGACTCTGGTGGGGATAAGGGGTAGATGTATCACTAGTTTACTGTTGATGGAGATGAGGGGTAGATGTAACACTAGTTGACTGTGGGTGGAGATGAGGGGTAGATGTAACACTAGTTGACTGTGGATGGAGATGAGGGGTAGATGTAACACTAAAGTACTGTCGGAAATGCTAGAAAAATGCTTTTTGACTTATATTTAAAATTCAGAGGTATTACAGTTACTTAAATAACAAATATCACTTTAAGAAACTTCTACCTAATGTAGACCGAGGGAATAAATTTTGAGACATGCCCTAAAATGTGTTTTTACTGATGAAAATACCAAAAACTTAGAAAAATAACGGGTAGTGGGACGTTATTTGATACAAACATTAACTGCCTGTGTTACGTCATCAGCATGCACGGTATCGACAGGTGAAATTGACACCCTGAGCACACGCTCGGGGGGGATCATCTCAATAGATGTTTTCTTCAAAATGTTGAATATGTGCACGATAGTATATGTATTGGTTATGTAGGAGATCATTTGTGCATTTGTGTATGTGTGTTTGTTTTGAAATAAACATACGAATTACTGTACATTGGAAAGAATCCTATCACTTGTGTTATCCTATTGATTGATTGTAGAAATGTGCAACGTTTTAATAAGTGTTTTGCATGTCAACAGTATATTTCATTGCCAAAATATGGATGTAATTCGGTCAGTTTAATCTAGTTGTGAACATTGGCCAAAGATTGAACGAAGTCACTGGTGTAGCTTCTTTAGAATATATATATTCTTCTTCTCCTAAAGTTTGTAGACCGCCCGTCTAAGTACTCCTTTGTCAAAGTTGTCAAGGATGGTTTTACGTCCCGGTTTTGGTTTTGAGACGGTCGCTGTCTTGTCTGATTTGTTTACAATATTGTAAACTTGTTGGTAAGACATACCAACAGCTCTACAAGTTCTGTAATAAACCCTTTCTAAACTAATGAAAGGTTTACCTCTGTCTTTTTCAAGCACAAAAAACTTATAAACCTTTGCAACAATTGACTGCAAATAGTTGGCCATAGTGGACGCTGTGATAAAGATATGCATGCATGACGGGAAAATTATTTATCAAGACTTAACATTTATATTAATATTTCTTCAATAAAAAAAACGATAATTAAGTAAAGTAACACAAACATTCAACATTTATTTGTTAAAGAAAAACGTTGATTCATATTTTTACACCACTTGTATTATTAGCATAAAAGTAAAGACTATTTCAGATTTCTGTTGTTGAACTCTGAAAAAAAGTTAAGTTGTTGTTTTGGTACCATATTCTCTCCTGTAAACTGCCCTTTAAATGCATGGGAATGTTAAATCGATTGAAAAACAAATTAGGTACACTATAGGCGAGTTGATATATTGACAACATAGTACATTTATCACCTTTATCAAAGTATTACGGCTAAAAAGCATTTTTCTAGCATTTCCGACAGTACTATAGTTGACTGCGGGTGGAGATGAGGGGTAGATGTAACACTAGTTGACTGGTGGGGATGAGGGGTAGATCTAACACTAGTTGACTGTGGGTGGAGATGAGGGGTAGATGTAACACTAGTTGACTGGGTGGAGATGAGGGGTAGATGTAACACTAGTTGACTCTGGTGGGGATGAGGGGTAGATGTATCACTAGTTGACTCTGATGGAGATGAGGGGTAGATGTAACACTAGTTTACTGTGGGTGGAGATGAGGGGTAGATGTAACACTAGTTGACTGTGGATGGAGATGAGGGGTAGATGTAACACTAGTTGACTGTGGGTGGAGATGAGGGGTAGATGTAACACTAGTTGACTGTGGGTGGGGATGAGGGGTAGATGTATCACTAGTTGACTCTGATGGAGATGAGGGGTGGATGTAACACTAGTTGACTGTTGGTGGAGATGAGGGGTAGATGTAACATTAGTTGACTGTGGGTGGAGATGAGGGGTAGATGTAACACTAGTTGACTGGGTGGAGATGAGGGGTAGATGTAACACTAGTTGACTGTGGGTGGAGATGAGGGGTAGATGTAACACTAGTTGACTCTGGTGGGGATGAGGGGTAGATGTATCACTAGTTGACTCTGATGGAGATGAGGGGTAGATGTAACACTAGTTGACTGTGGGTGGAGATGAGGGGTAGATGTAACACTAGTTGACTGTGGGTGGAGATGAGGGGTAGATGTAACACTAGTTGACTGTGGGTGGATGATGAGGGTAGATCTAACACTAGTTGACTGTGGGTGGAGATGAGGGGTAGATGTAACACTAGTTGACTGGGTGGAGATGAGGGGTAGATGTAACACTAGTTGACTGTGGGTGGAGATGAGGGTAGATGTAACACTAGTTGACTGGAGATGAGGGTGATGTAACACTAGTTGACTGTGGGTGGAGATGAGGGGTAGATGTAACACTAGTTGACTGTGGATGGAGATGAGGGGTAGATGTAACACTAGTTGACTGTGGGTGGAGATGAGGGGTAGATGTAACACTAGTTGACTGTGGGTGGGGATGAGGGGTAGATGTATCACTAGTTGACTCTGATGGAGATGAGGGGTGGATGTAACACTAGTTGACTGTTGGTGGAGATGAGGGGTAGATGTAACATTAGTTGACTGTGGGTGGAGATGAGGGGTAGATGTAACACTAGTTGACTGGGTGGAGATGAGGGGTAGATGTAACACTAGTTGACTGTGGGTGGAGATGAGGGGTAGATGTAACACTAGTTGACTGTGGGTGGAGATGAGGGGTAGATGTAACACTAGTTGACTCTGGTGGGGTAGATGTAACACTAGTTGACTGTGGGTGGAGATGAGGGGTAGATGTAACACTAGTTGACTCTGATGGAGATGAGGGGTGGATGTAACACTAGTTGACTGTTGGTGGAGATGAGGGGTAGATGTAACATTAGTTGACTGTGGGTGGAGATGAGGGGTAGATGTAACACTAGTTGACTGTGGGTGGAGATGAGGGGTAGATGTAACACTAGTTGACTGTGGGTGGAGATGAGGGGTAGATGTAACACTAGTTGACTCTGAGCTGGGATGACGCACTTGAAGGAAAGGATTGTTGAAGGCAATTTGACTAGGTATTGGATTTCTGTGACTGTGAGTACTGGTGCAAACAAGAAGTGTTTTCTTGGCCTACAAATTCTTCTGTATTGTGAAATACTAGAAAATGTCTGACAGTGTGTGACAGTTTCTCCTTGTTGGTCATTCCCTTTTACCGACTGAACTCTGCTGTACAAATCCATGTTTTGATTGAGTAAATTACAAAGGGCAGTTCTGTCAATTCATCATTCTATAATGTTAATGTTTCCATGTTAACTGTATGTCTACTTGCAGACCAGAAGAAGTTGGCAAGCTCCATTCCATGTTTGACATGGATTACCATGATGTGTTTGAGAGCTTGGTGTTCAACACTATCAAGAATGAGGGCACCAAACACAGCCTGGACATGTACCGCCAGAACCGCCCCCAGTTGGAGAGGGACTTTCATCACAAGATTCGACAGAGACTGGGTGGTAAGGGTTGTAACTTTCTGCTTTGGTCCAATGACTGTGCTAGTCCTCATACTGACCTGTATACTGGAGACGGATGAGACAGATGCTTCAGTCAGTGCTGGTAGAGATACAGATTCTCTTTTCTAACATGCTTCGCTATAAGATCAAAGGTGCTGACAGATTTTATCAGGCAATTACAGTATTGATGTCCCTATGCTATTCTAGTCTGGCCCCTCACAATCAACTGTTCCCTTGGTAGCCGACTTCATGATAGGTATCCTCAGTATCTAAGATGCCTAATTTCGTACAAAACTTCAAACAGAACTCTTCGATCCAGCAGTGCTTTGAATGATCTTGCCATCCCCAGAACCACCACTGAAATGGGGGAAAAGTGTTTTACAGTTGCAGCCCCAGCGTTGTGGAATGAACTTCCAGCTGAACTGAAAAGTGCAAAATCAAGGGATTCATTAAAAAACCCCTTAAAACACACCTATTCAAACAATATTTTAGCTTTGAATCCTTGAGCCCCAACCCATATTCAGCATCTTAGCTTTTACTGACTTTATAAGCATCACTGGTTTTTTTTTTGTTTTTTAATCATTGTGTAATTTTTCTGAGCAGGAAATAACCTTGATATTAGGCGCTATACATATAAATTGTCATTCATTCATTCATTCATTCATTCATTCATTTATGTTGTCATTGCCAAGTACAGTCTCCTGCAATAACAGTATCTCCGTAGCACCCCATTTCTTGGTTTAAAGTCTGCTATCATCACGGTTGGAAGTATTACATTTACCTTTTTTCGACAGAAAAAATGTCTTAGCTCCAATCACAATTAAATAGCGTCACGCCAATGTCCCCAGTCCCACAATGCATATGTGGAATGTTGTGTGACTAGACAGCCTTATCTGGATGTATGGATCGAAACCGTCTTCAAACGCGTTTGTTTTCCTGGTAGCGTATGTCTTAACATAGGGGACAGACACGTCATAAGAACAGCATGTCAGTTAGTGAGAAACCCTGAATGAGGATTGTTAATTGAGGTCACCACTTTTCTCTTTGCTTTCTGCTTTAGATTAATCATTGGTAAGTATTAAGAAATACAGTTCGATCTACCCACATGTATAGTATTATAAAGTACAGTTTTGCCGTAAACTATTATAACGTTAAAGCACTTGGCCACAAGTGTCACTGTATTTTATTACACTATACTTGGGGGTACAGCGAACTGTATTACTTACTCAAGTGAGCTGCAGAGTTCTCACGATGGTGTTTAGATATGCATTTGGAATAGAAGCTTGTTGAAGTTAGCAAGTCTTTGCTTTACTCAGTACCAGTGTGGTTGAAAAACCATGACAAGCCTGCATACTGATGATGTTGAAGTTAGCAATCTAGGTGAGCTGTGTCGGTGAGCTGCCTGCAGATTGTGTTGACTAATGTCTTGTCTGTTTAACAATGCAGGCACCTGCTGTCCAAGCTGCTGCCCTAACGATTGTAGCAACAAGACCGTGTGTGAGCTGTGTGCGTCGGCGGCGACGTGTGATGGTGGGTATCATGCAGACGTGGAGTACTTCCAGATGGGAAAAATCAGCATCCCCAATGAGGTGTTCGATCGCGATACATGCGGCAGACCATCCTCCAGGTTGGTAGCAGACTAGGTTGGAAGAAGGGAGGTGGGGACAAGTGGAGAGGGGGGGTGAAGGGTGTTATGATGTAACCCGTGAGACACTTGTGACCTCAGCATGAAGGTGGGCCTTAGAACCAGCATGGGATATAGACATCTCTTGTGACCTCAGCATGAAGGTGGGCCTTAGGACAAGCATGGGATATAGACATCTCTTGTGACCTCAGCATGAAGGTGGGCCTTAGGACCAGCATGGGATATGGACATCTCTTGTGACCTCAGCATGAAGGTGGGCCTTAGAACCAGCATGGGATATAGACATCTCTTGTGACCTCAGCATGAAGGTGGGCCTTAGGACAAGCATGGGATATGGACATCTCTTGTGACCTCAGCATGAAGGTGGGCCTTAGGACCAGCATGGGATATGGACATCTCTTGTGCCCCAAGGCCTTCTGGGAATGCAGCAACTTTTGAAACTCATCATGAACTTTGTAAATCTTGGAAGTCATGTGATATCATACTAATTAGCTGTCTGTATCACTCTTTTAGTGTGCATGATTTAACGAGCTGAATGGTTGGGTGCAATGTCAGAGTTGCATTATTGTGAGTTGACATATTACATTTATCTTCAGGTAAAAAATGTTTTCTATCCTGGTGATGGATCCTGGTGATAGATCTGTCTGTCTGTCACTTCCTGTGACCAACTATAGGCATGTGTCACACTTGTCAGTGTCTGTTTAATGTGAGGCTCTGTCTATCCTGTTTGTATTTCATGTTGTTGTCCAGGTCGAGTGCCTGTGAAACTGTGTCTCAGATATGTCTCACAAACATACCACTGTGTCTCAGATATATCTCACAAACATACCTCCGTGTCTCAGATATATCTCACAAACATACCTCCGTGTCTCAGATATATCTCACAAACATACCACCGTGTCTCAGATATATCTCACAAACATACCACCGTGTCTCAGATATATCTCACAAACATACCACCGTGTCTCAGATATATCTCACAAACATACCTCCGTGTCTCAGATATATCTCACAAACATACCTCGTGTCTCAGATATGTCTCACAAACATACCTCCGTGTCTCAGATATATCTCACAAACATACCATCGTGTCTCAGATATGTCTCACAAACATACCTCCGTGTCTCAGATATGTCTCACAAACATACCACCGTGTCTCAGATATGTCTCACAAAACATACATATCTCACAAACATACTCCGTGTCTCAGATATATCTCACAAACATACCTCCGTGTCTCAGATATATCACAAACATACCTCTATGTCTCATATATCTCACAAACATACCTACTGTGTCTCAGATATATCTCACAAACATACCTCCGTGTCTCAGATATATCTCACAAACATACCTCTGTGTCTCAGATATGTCTCAGATATGTCTCAGATATATCTCACAAACATACCTCCGTGTCTCAGATATATCTCACAAACAAACACTATATCTCAGACAGACATACCACTGTCTCAAATATACCACACAAACATACCACCATGTCTCAGATATATCTCACAAACATACCTCCGTGTCTCAGATATATCTCACAAACAAACACTATATCTCAGACAGACATACCACTGTCTCAGATATATCTCACAAACATACCTCCGTGTCTCAGATATATCTCACAAACATAACACTGTGTCTCAGATATATGTCACAAGCATATACACAAAACACTATATCTCAGACAATACAATACAAAACAATATACTGTATCTCAGACAGACATACCACCGTGTCTCAGATATATCTCACAAACATACCAGCGTGTTTCAGATATATCTCACAAACATATACACAATACACAAAACACTTTATCTCAGACAATACAATACAAAACAATATACAGTACAACCAGAAATTATTGAGATTATTTTTTCACTCATTACTCACGTATTAAATGTGAATATTAGCAGAACATAACTCCAGATTCAAAGACAGGTGAACAGTTAGTATTTTGTCAAGTCACCATGGTCAGCAATGCAGGCTTCAATGCAGCGGGGCATACTACTGATCAAAGAAGTTAGAAAGTCGTGGTCCATGCTGTCCCAATATCGGACCACCTCTTCTTTCATTTCAGCAATATTTGTCAGATTTTTCTTATTGACACTTTCCTTCATAAGTCCCCAAACATTTTCTATTGGATTTAGGTCAGGGCTATAGCTTGGCCTATCTAATAATGTCATATTTTGCATCCGAAACCAGGCCTGTGAATGCTTTGAACGATGTTTTGGGTCGTTGTCCTGCTGGAAAATCCAAAAATTTCCATAGAACACGTGAGCAGATGAGAGGGGCGTTGCCCCTAACACAGATATGCCACCTCACACGTCAAATTTTGGACTGTACTTTGGGCCGATACAAAGGTTTTTCAGTTTGTTTGGTCCAGAATTTCAGTGTTTTAGGAAACAGACACACAGAACTTTCATCTGAGAAAGTCACATTGTCCCAGTTAAAATTTCTATGCTGTAAGCACCAGTTCAACCTTCGCTCCTTTTGTTCAGGTTTCATGATCGGTGATGGAATTCCTTGACTTTTCTGCCAACCCATTGCATGCAGCTCAGTTCTAATTGTCTCCTTACAGACAGCCACAGTTCCTCTATCAATCATATCCAGCCTTAAGTTTTCTAAACTCCTTCGTTTGTTTTTAGAAACAAGAATACCAAGCCACCTCCTGTCACCGATAGTCAATTTTCTGGGCCTACCTGCGCCTCCCTTGTGCTCAATGCCATATCCATTTGCAATATTTTTCAAAACACGATAAACAGTGGACAAAGGGATGCCTGTTCTACTTGAAATCACTTAAGCTGATCTGATGTCCTTGTTATAACACTCTAAAATCAACTTCCTCTTCTCTAAATCATCCATACCGAGGATCACTGAAAATGTCGTCTGCTAGCAAGTAAACAAAGGGGGATAACTCTTCACAAAGTAATGAAAAAGGATTATCGGAGTTGTCTCTCTTGAATGAAACCAAGCACTTGATAGCTGGTCACGGTTGTTTATACTAGAAATCGAATTAAACATATTCCTAAAATTCTCAATAATTTCTGGTCATGCTATAGTAAATCTTAGCTTTTTGACATACTGCTGAATCTGGTCATACTTTTCTGTATCTCAGACAGACATACCACCGTGTATCAGATATATATCTCACAAACATAACACTGTGTCTCAGAGATATCATGTCATGGATATATCTCACATTTGTCAAATTTCTAAATGGCATTGTGTATTCATAGCTTTAGGCCATGGGAGCTGAACCAGTTTATATCTGTCAGAGGGGTACACAGAGTCCGTGGTCTAGACTACCTGTTGTCAGACGTCTATGTCTGTGGAAGCTGCGGTGGCCGAGTTAGTTAGATGGTTGACTTTGTGTGCTGGTGATAAGGTGCCTGACTCTGAGAGTGTGGGTTTGATTCCTGGCTGGGTCTCGACCTAACAAAAGTACTAGAATCTGTACTTCACTGAGAAAGTGTGATCCCAAATATACTTGTTAGCAGGGGCTTTGTTACAGTCTGTTTAATGTTGTAGTCTAGATAATGTGATGCTGACGATGTAGGTTAATATCACTCGTGGGATTAAAAAGAGTGTGATCAAAAAGAGAGAGAATGCAAAGAATTTGAATCTTTGTTTTGACTTCAGCGGCAGAGATCCGTGCCAATGCGACGGTAAACGGGAAGATGATCGGTGTGGTTGCTGAGTCGGAGAAAGAGAAAATCATCCAGAAGTCTTACATCCAGGCTCTGAAGGACTTCTACCAGAAACTCAACGTGGTGGAGGAGGACCACAAGCTGTCACTCATGATGATGCGAGCCTATGATGACATCAAAGACAATCTGTATACTTCCATCAATGCATCTTCATTATTTCTCAATATGTGAGTGAGAGTCAGCACTGAGGAGATATCAAAGACAATCTGTATACTTCCATCAATGCATCTTCAGTCTTTCTCAATATGTGAGTGAGGGTCAGCACTGAGGAGATATCAAAGACAATCTGTATACTTCCATCAATGCATCTTCATTATTTCTCAATATGTGAGTGAGAGTCAGCACTGAGGAGATATCAAAGACTGACTGACTGAGTTTAGTTTTACGCCGCTTTTAGAATATTCCAGCAACATCATGGTGGGGGGACACCTGAAATGGGCTTCACACATTGTACCCATGTGGGGATTCGAACCCGGGTCTTCAGCATGACGAGCGGACACTTTAACCACTAGGCTACCCCACCGCCCCATATCAAAGACAATCTGTATACTTCCATCAATGCATCTTCACTGTTTCTCAATATGTGAGTGAGAGTCAGCACTGAGGAGATATCAAAGACAATCTGTATACTTCCATCAATGTATCTTCAGTCTTTCTCAAATATGGTAGGGAGGGTCCACACTTAGGGAGATTTCAAATATAATTGGATTACCTTTATTAATAATAATAAAAATAATAGGCCATTTATGTGTCGCCTTTCCACATCTTCCGTATCTCTCAATATGTGAGGGAGGATACCACAGACAATCTGTATACTTTTATCACTGCGTTTTCTTTTTATCTCAATTAATCAATATTATTGATGCATCATTAGGTTGTTTCTGTTTTCAGGGTGTAAAGAATGGAGACCATTGTTGGCTGCACTGTTTGTATATGAGATGACTTCATGTTCCCGAGTTCAGTGACGTCCATGGTTACATCTTAGACTGAACAGACAGGATCAGGGGAGACAAATCTGTCTGACCTATTCAGTCTACTCTTTGTTGTTACTGAATCTGTATGAAGTTATTGTCGTGTTTACTAAACATTTACATGACTTTTGGAAATCTTTACCTGTCCTGATCAAGAGTTTGTACGAACGCTGAATGAGTTCAACCTGTTATTTATTCTATGTTATGTTTGTTTACCTATCTATTCTCTACATATACATTTATATTCAAGTAAGAGGAGGCATGGATGGACCAGACATTTTGTCCGTCCGCTGTTGAGTTCTGGTTTGCAGCACTTCCTCGTGTACTGCATCACAACATTCCGACCTGCATCTATCTGGGATTTCCTCCAACCTCCAGCCAGCATGACAGTTATACAACTGAAATACCTTCCACAATAACATGCACACAAACTTCAACCCCATACAGTACCTCAGCCCTTTTGTCAGGGTCAAGAGGCGGCCTCATGGTTCAAGTAGTCTGACTCGGGGACTGGGGAATTGCGTGTCATGGTTCCCTAACCAGGGTCACAGCTCATTGATTTGACTGGTCGACATAACTCTTCTGTTTGAGGGCCTCCGTCATGTATCTGCAATATTGCTTTGTGGTACTTTAAATGACAACAAAACGATTTGAGGAGATGTGTCCATTGTATTTTTTATGACAAATCAGGACTGTGAGTTTCACAGTGGACAGACCAGGAATATTGCCAGTCATGGGAGTGCTCACACGGCTCCAAAATTATGTAAAAAATGTTCAGAGATGAAAACTGTTTTGATATTTGGGTTCCTTTATATTGCTTGTCAGAAAGTAAAAAGATTGACCATTTTGTCTGACCACCGCTACACACAGGCCCTCGTGTCTTTGCTAGGATTAAAAGATGTTAAAAAAACATACCCCTGTTTTGTGCGGACATATCGTCAACCATTTGTGTCAAGATCGTTTAGTTAAGAGTCAAAATCGGGTTTCAATCGACTTGCAGAAATAACAACAAAGAATTGGTAGGTGTCATGAGTGGTGATAGATAGGCCGATGAGCCATGATTATGTATACTTTAAGTTTTAATCGATTGCATGCGATGGTAGCGTAGCGATCGGCAATGCAGGCGGGTAGGGTACACCGAAGTGTCCGGCCTTGTTATAATGTATTGTGCTAAGAAGTGTAGCATTTCGAGTTGGGGGTCATCTAAAAAAAAATATTTCATTTAATCGTTAATCCCATGATGGCGGTATAAACACCGAAAACATTGCGTTATATGTGTGGTCTGCCTGGGTTTGAATGCTGGCGAGATAAACACACTTGTACATGGCAATGTATACTTGAATGTTTCATGAGAATGTAAATAAAGTACATTTGATTCATGTTTGTCTAAGTTTTGTGTAACTCATGTTTTCTTTGTCAGTATTGGTCATTAACAATAAAAGTAGTAATTAATATAGACGTTCATGTCGTGAAGAATGATTGTTAATCAGCGTAATAAGCCAAACATTTTGTGGATGTCAACTTCTTTTTATTGAGTACACGTTTCTTGGCTTTTCCTTGCCAGGTGAATGAAGGGGGAAATAAAAAGAAGTTGACATCCATAATATTTTTGTCTTTTACTTGAATACCAACTTCTGTGTGCCTCTCACGAACTCCTTGATAATTGTTATCTACGAATATTACTCATGCAGTCAGCATGCAGCCTAACAAAAAGTTACATGACTGAAGGCGAGTGAAGGTACACCTAGACATCTCTGGTTGGAACTTGATGACTTGGTCATGAAGGAAGAAGGCACGTTATAAAGAGAGTTGCTTCCCTTTGACCTTGTGAGCGTTGAGAAGTTACTGTGTGGATCATCTGGGCGATTTCAAGATTGTACAGGGACGAGCATGCACATGTAGTGTATGGTTTGTTGGTGAGGTGTTTCGAAGTGGAACATTTCATGTCAGAATTGGCAACTGAGGCCAGGTGGTCAGTTATAGTGGTGACTCAGGAGTGTGAGCACTATTCAGTGTGTACATACAAAATTCTAACTGCTTCAAGTTCAGGGCCCCGTTCCTCACAGCGATCGTATCGCTACGACTGTCGTAGGTCTATGTTAAAGTATCGGAGTTACGATCACCTTAGCACTACGATCTCTTTGAGGAACGGGCCCCAGTAATTAATTAATCTGTTTTGATGTTAATTAATGCAACTTTAAATGATACATATTCAAGAAGGCATTTACAATGAACGTGCATGTTATTTCTACAACTCGAAAAAATACGCGATTGTTGGGAGATAGTTTCACACTGAACACTTTCAAGAGGAACACGGCTGACTGAAAATCACCGTCTATGTGTCATGGGGAAAGGGGGAAGGTGGTAAACGAAGTTATCAGACAATTTTACGTTCAGGAAACACATCATCTGTTTGGAGACATTACGTACAACCGTGCAACAAACTTGACTCTCCACAGGCCGTCACGTCAACAAGGCAGCCATATTTGGTTGGGGCATCTACGGAATCGATACCACACTGCCATATTAACAGGTCGCATAATTCAAGGGTGAAAACCAATAAGGGTGAGAAGCTTGCGTTAGCGGCCGATGAAGCGCAATATCCGGTCACGACTTCCAGCCGTACGCCCAGTTTAGCTTTCACGTCGCCGTAGACGGCACCTCTAAGTATGTTTAGAAGAGAATAACTACCAAGACAGTATGTTGTTCAAACTAGATGTGCCCATATTGACAGCCCTGAAGGTTTTGCAACGACCAACAGGCGTCGTATAAGTGACGATTGCGTTCCTCAACGTCGTCATGTTGCATTTGAAGTGTAATGGTAAGGGCTGGCACCAAAGCGAAGAAAACAACTAATAATCGTTAATGGCAATTTGACTGGCTGAGGGGATGACATCGTTCGGAATCATGTTTAACCCTTTGTGTATATGTTTAACCCTTTGTGTACATGTTTAACCCTTTGTGTACATGTTTAACCCTTTGTGTACATGTTTAACCCTTTGTGTACATGTTTATTAACCCTTTGTGTATATGTTTAACCCTTTGTGTACATGTTTAACCGTTTGTGTACATGTTTAATCCTTTGTGTACATGTTTAACCCTTGTGTACATGTTTAACCCTCTGTGTATATGTTTAACCCTTTGTGTATATGTTTAACCCTTTGTGTAGATGTTTAACCCTTTGTGTAGATGTTTAACCCTTTGTGTACATGTTTAACCCTTTGTGTACATGTTTAACCCTTTGTGTACATGTTTAACCCTTTGTGTACATGTTTAACCCTTTGTGTACATGTTTAACCCTTTGTGTATATGTTTAACCCTTTGTGTATATGTTTGACCCTTTGTGTATTTGTTTAACCCTTTGTGTACATGTTTGTGTACATGTTTAACCTTTGTGTACATGTTTAACCCATGTTTGTGTGCATGTTTGTGTACATGTTTAACCCTTTGTGTACATGTTTAACCCTTTGTGTACATGTTTAACCCTTTGTGTATATGTTTAACCCTTTGTGTACATGTTTAACCCTTTGTGTACATGTTTAACCCTTTGTGTACATGTTTAACCCTTTGTGTATATGTTTAACCCTTTGTGTACATGTTTGTGTACATGTTTAACCTTTGTGTACATGTTTAACCCTTTGTGTACATGTTTAACCCTTTGTGTATATGTTTAACCCTTTGTGTACATGTTTAACCCTTTGTGTACATGTTTAACCCTTTGTGTACATGTTTAACCCTTTGTGTATATGTTTAACCCTTTGTGTACATGTTTAACCCTTTGTGTACATGTTTAACCCTTTGTGTACATGTGTTTAACCCTTTGTGTACATGTTTAACCCTTTGTGTACATGTTTAACCCTTTGTGTATATGTTTAACCCTTTGTGTACATGTTTAACCCTTTGTGTACATGTTTAACCCTTGTGTACATGTTTAACCCTTTGTGTACATGTTTAACCCTTTGTGTATATGTTTAACCCTTTGTGTACATGTTTAACCCTTGTGTTTGTACATGTTTAACCCTTTGTGTATATGTTTAACCCTTTGTGTATTTGTGTATTTTAACCCTTTGTGTACATGTTGTTTGTGTACATGTTTAACCCTTTGTGTATATGTTTAACCCTTTGTGTACATGTTTAACCCTTATATGTTTAACCCTTTGTGTACATGTTTAACCCTTTGTTGTGTGTACATATTTAACCCTGTTTAATGTTTAACCCTTTGTGTATATGTTTGTGTATATGTTTAACCCTTTGTGTATATGTTTAACCCTTTGTGTACATGTTTAACCCTTTGTGTACATGTTTAACCCTTTGTGTGTTGTTTAACATGTTTAACCCTTTGTGTATATGTTTAACCCTTTGTGTACATGTTTAACCCTTTGTGTACATGTTTAACCCTTTGTGTACATGTTTAACCCTTTGTGTACATGTTTAACCCTTTGTGTACATGTTTAACCCTTTGTGTACATGTTTAACCCTTTGTGTATATGTTTAACCCTTTGTGTATATGTTTAACCCTTTGTGTAAATGTTTAATCCTTTGTGTACATGTTTAACCCTTTGTGTACATGTTCGGGTGTAACCTTACGCTGCACCAGGATACTGTCCACACAAGTGTACGTGATATAACAGATTTTGTAAGGCAGCATAACATGGCTGTATTACCATGACTGCATTATCATGAACAGCTGTTTCTCCAGACCTCTGTTCCGGTGCTACTGTCTGGGATGAGAAATGTGGACGTCTACGAGAGGATTCAGTAAGGCCAGGTACGAATGGCAAATGACTGACATTTGGCACACCATCCATAGGCTGCTTTCAATCATCTTATGAAAGGGAAATTGACGAAAGCTTGAAACTGAGCAGAATTGTGAGCAGCATTCTCAAGCATTGGTTGAATCAGTTGGATTTTTTGGCACATGGAAAACCCGACTCTGATTTTATCTTGCTACCGACTGTGTCACCAAGCAAGAGAGGTACGATTCAACAGAGTGTTGGATGGGCTGATTTATTCCTACATCAGTTCAGGAAAATATGTGTAGACATTGAGAATCA